GAAGGACTCAGGGCGGTGAACAGTCACGAAGTAAAATACATATATACAAAATTTAAAAGCTGAATAAAACCGAATTAAACAGTTTGGCCCCAGACAGAATTAAAACAGCCCAATAATTTAAAAACAAATTAAAATTTACATTTTAAAAGGAAAAGGGGAGAAAATGAAGATTAGGCCAGGCCAGCTTGATGGAATAAAAAGGTCTTGAGGGCGCGGCGGAAGGTGCGTATATAATATAGGTGCGTAAATAATAAGAAAAACGCTCATAAGCAGGGATGGGCTTCAAAAATTTTAGCAAGGGGTTCTCTGTCCAGTTGCTGGGTGGGCGTGGCCTAGTCAGCCTCTTGCACCACGGCGGGGAGGGGAGTTTTTGCCCTCCTCGGGCTCTGGAGGCTTTCCTCGAGCCTCCGAGAGAGTGAAAACGGCCTCCCCAGGCTCCGGAGGCCCTCTGGAGGCCTTCCCAAACTTTCAGTAGGCCCGTTTTTCGCCCTTCCCGAGCCTCCGCCCACGCCCTGCACTTACCTGCATCCAAAATGGTCCATGTGGGGAATCCGGGGAGGGGCAGGGTGGGCGCGGCCAGCCAGGAGTGGGATTTGGAGGTTCTCCGAACTGCACAAAATCTTAGCTAGAGGGCAATGGTGAAATCCAAATTTTCTTACTACCGGTTTGGTGGGCATGGCTTGGTGGGCGTGGCAGGGGAAGGATACTGCAAAATCTCCATTCCCTCCCCATTCCTGGGGGAAGGATACTGCAAAATCCCCTTTCCCACCCCACTCCTGGGGGAAGGATACTGCAAAATCTCCATTCCCACCCCACTCCTGGGGGAAGGATACTGCAAAATCCCCATTCCATCCCGACTCCAGCGGGAAGGATATTGCAAAATCCCCATTTCCTCCCCACTCCTGGGGGAAGGCTATTGCAAAATCTCCATTCCCACCCCACTCCAGGGGAAGGATGCTGCAAAATCTCCATTCCTTCCCCTCCTGAGGAAAGGATACTGCAAAATCACCATCCCTACCCCACTCTGGGGCCAGCCAGAGGTGGTAAATGCCGGTTCTCCGAACTGCTCAAAATTTCCGCTATGGGTTCTCCAGAACCTGTCAGAACCTGCTGGATTTCACCCCTGCTAGAGGGTCTCCCGAACCCCTGTGAACCCCCAACAGCCCACCTCTGCTCAGTGCCATTGTAACTTTGAACGGTCACTAAACAAACGCTCGTAAGTCGAGAACTACCTGTATTTCTCTACAATTTTTTTTTTTAAAAAAACAATGCATCCTCAGAAGATTCTGCTGACTTTGGGGGACACGTCCAGAGAGATTTGATGGCAAGAATGAAACTTGTCGCCGCCTTTTCCAAGAATAGTTTTGGATTGTGGGTTTATTTTTTATTTTATTTTATTTTTTTCCCCCAATTTCCAGGTCTAATTTAGAACCGGTGGTCTCTTCCCCAGAGTCGGATCCTTGCTTAGCTTTTGTTGAGATCAGCCAAGATCAGCTAAATCTGGCTGCGAGGGAATATCTGACTTGATTAGAATATATCGGAAAGGATTTCTGATATTGTAGCTCATCGCAAACCAAATAGGAACCAGAAATATGATGAGACTGCTGAAAAAGAGAGAGAGAGAGAGAAAAAAGGAATTTTAGGTTGCATCAGCAGAAATGGTCCAAAACGACAGAAAGCCACACAATTCCATGGTAGTTTTTGGAAATGATTCTATCTGGTTCACAGGTAGTCTTCAACATACGACCAAATGGGTGGTACCTGAATTTCTGTGGCTAAGCAAGGTGGTTGTTAAGTAAGCCGCTCCCAACTTTGCAACCCTTTTAGAATAGGATAGGATAGGATAGGATAGGATAGGATAGGATAGGATAGGATAGGATAGGATAGGATAGGATAGAATGTTATAGAACAGAATAGAATAGAATAGAATAGAATAGAATAGAATAGAATAGAATAGAATAGAATAGAATAGAATAGAATAGAATAGAATAGAATAGAATAAAGGATGGGGACAGAATAGGATAGAATAGAATGTTATAGAATGTTATAGAATAGAATAGAATGTTATAGAATAGAATAGAATAGAATAGAATAGAATAGAATAGAATAGAATAGAATAGAAAAGGCAGGAGCAGAGAAGGTCAGCGAGATTACTCGCAAGGAGGCAGCCTCACTCTTCTTGATGGGCTCCACCGGAAGCTGGCTATTTAGCATGGCAGACACAGAGAGAGAGGTGTTGCTGGGAATAACATGTTTGTTTCCTCGCTGTCTGTTTTCTGGTCTGGGAGTCTCATCCTCTGAATCGTTTCTCTCCCTCCTTCCCTCCCTCCCTCCCTCCCTCTCCTTCCTTCCTTCCTTCCTTCCTTCCTTCCTTCCTTCCTTCCTTCCTTCCTCCTTCCTTCCTTCCTTCCTTCCTTCCTTCCTTCCTTCCTTCCTTCCTCCCTCCCTCCCTCCCTCCCTCCCTTCCTTCCTTCCTTCCTTTCCTCCCTCTCTCCCTCATTTCCAATATAGTCCAGATTCCTAGGAGGGAGGCACTGCATTCCAGAAGAACAAGAGACAACTTAGCTTAGATAGTTTGTGTGAGAAAAAGAGGGTGAAGACAGCTCCCACTCAATCATTCCCAGATTATGTTTTATGTTGGCATTTGCATGCTTTAGTTTGGCAGTGTCTTTCTTGGTTTTGGAAGCCCGATCCTCTTTCCCTTCTCTTCCCCTCCACTTCTCCTCCCTCCCTGTCTCTCTTTTCTTCCTTCCTTTTTTCCTTTATCCTCCCTCCCTCCCTCCCATCCTTTTCCTTATAGTCCAGACAACCAAGAGGGAGGGGCTGCATTCCAGAGGAACAACTCAGTTTAGATAGTTTGTGTGTGAGAAAGAGGGTGAAGACAGCTTCTCCTCAATAGTTCCCAGAGTATGTTTTATGGTGGTGTTTAGCATGCTTTAGTTTGGCAAGATTCTGTCTACGACTGAGAAACAATAGAGAAATCTGCTTAGAAGAATCACACAATGTGTCTTTCTTGGGTGGGTTTTTTTTTTTTTTGGGGAGCCTGACAGTTTCAAACTGTTTTGAGCATCGGCCTCTGAAGCTTGCCGAATGCTTAGAAAGCCAATTTCACACCTGAGGCAGTAACTTTGCATTCGAGACAAGATGGCTTGTGAAGAATCGTGCTCCAAACAGATTTCGTGCAAGAACTTTATACACAAAATGAGAAAGGGTTGTGCTCGAAAACAATTCAAAAGAAACCTTTTTCACAGCCTCAGTGACCCAACTTGGTTACATCTGTGCCCCGTACCGAATTTCATTCTAACAGTAAGGACCCTGCCACTCTCTTTGTGGCAAGTGTGTCAGATACCCAATCCAAATCTGCTTTTGGGCCAAACAATTTCTTCTGTGCAAGCTCAGATCTCTAACCTAAGGGTTACCTTGCAAGCGCACACTACCAGTTAGGACCGTGATGGCGAATCTATGGCACGTGTGCCAGAGGTGGCACAGAGAGCTCTCTCTGTGGGCATGCACGCCATCGCCAGCTGATCTTCTGGTTTCCGGTGCGTCAGCCAGCTGGTCTTCTGGTTTCCGGTGCGCCAGCCAGCTGGTCCTCTGGTTTCCAGTACGCCAACCAGCTGGTCCTCTGGTTCCAGTACGCCAACCAGCTGGTCCTCTGGTTTCCAGTACGCCAACCAGCTGGTCTTCTGGTTTCCAGTACGCCAACCAGCTGGTCCTCTGGTTTCCAGTACGCCAACCAGCTGGTCCTCTGGTTTCCAGTACGCCCAACCAGCTGGTCCTCTGGTTTCCAGTACGCCAACCAGCTGGTCTTATGGTTTCCAGTGTGCCAGCCAGCTGGTCTTCGCAGGTGCCAGAGCACCAGAAAATGGCCTGAAAATGGTCCAAAAACTGTCCAAAAAGCAAGCCATTTTCCAGGCAGTTTTTGGGCCTTTTTCAGGCTGTTTTTCGGGCCATTTTGGCCTGAAAACGGCCTTAAAAATGGCCTGAAAACAGCCAAAAAATGGCCTGAAAACAGCCAAAAAATGGCCAAAAAACAGGCATGTGCACCGGGCAGCTGGTTTTCGAGTTTCCAGCGCTCCGGCGGGCACATGCACACGCATTCCGGTTTGGGCACTTGATGCCGAAAAGATTCGCCATCACTGAATTAGGACATCCATGCAATGTGGTGGTACCTGAAGGTAGTCCTCGACTTACGACCACCGTTGAGCCCCAAAATTTCTGGTGCTAGACAAGGCAGTTGTTAAGCCATTTTGCCCCATTTTATGACCTTTCTTGCCACCATCGTTAAGTGAACCTTAACACTTGTTAAGTTAGTAACATGGTTGTTAAGCGAATCCGGCTTCCCCATTGACTTTGCTTGCTCGGAAGGTCGCAAAAGGGGGATCACATGACCCCCCCTGGATGTTGCAACCTTCAAAACACGGAGTTAGTCGCCGTGTGTCTAAATTTGAGCACTCGTCCATGCAGATACAGTGTGCAAATCGTAAATCGTTTTTTCAATGCAGTCGTAACTCTCAACGGTCACTAAATGAACTGTTGTAAGTGGAGGACTACCTGCACTCAGGAAGTTGGTAGTAGAGAGGATTTCCAAATCCGCTCTTCCCCTCCAAATCTGAATCCCAATCCTGTTGAGCCATAAATTCCTTTCCCTTTTTTATCACTTTGTGGCTTGTTAGGTACACCGAGAGCTTATGCACTGGAGACAAATTCCTTGGGGGTCCAATCACACCTGGCTGATAAAAAAAATATTCTGTTCTGTTCTATAGAATATTTGTAGGTTGAACTGTGGGAGCCTTGGCGCTCTCTGAGCTTGGTTGCTTTCTTGCTGATGTTTCATTACCAAACAAGGTAACATCATCAATGTTAGAAGGGACCAAGGTTTCTATTTCTCTTCTCTTCTCTTCTCTTCTCTTCTCTTCTCTTCTCTTCTCTTTCTTCTCTTCTCTTCTCTTCTCTTCTCTTCTCTTTCTCTTTCTCTTTCTCTTTCTCTTCTCTTCTCTTTCTCTTTCTCTTTCTCTTTCTCTTTCTCTTTCTCTTTCTCTTTCTCTTTCTCCTCTCTCCTCTCTCTCTTCTCCCTCCCCTCCCCTCCCTTCCCCTTCCCTCTCCCCTCCCTCTCCTCTCCTCTCCTCTCCCCTCCCCTCTCCTCTCCTCTCCCCCTCCCTCCTCCCCTTCCCCCTCTCCTCCCCTCCCTTCCTTTCCTTCCCTTCCCTTCTCCTCTCCCTTCCCTTCCCCTCCCCTCTCCCTCCTCCCCTCCCCCTCTCCTCTCCTCTCCTCTCCTCCCTCCCTCCCTTCCCTTCCCTTCTCCTCTCCCCTCTCTCCTCTCTTCTCCCCTCCCCTCTCCTCCCTTCCCTTCCCTTCTCCCCTCCCCTCCCCTCCCTTCCCTTCCCTCTCCCCTCTCCTCTCCTCTCCTCTTCCCTTCCCTCTCCTCCCCTCCCTTCCCTTTCCTTCCCTTCCCTTCTCCTCTCCCTTCCCCTCCCCTCTCCTCTCCTCTCCCCTCCCCTCTCCTCTCCTCCCCTCCCCTCCCTTCCCTTTCCTTCCCTTGCCTTCTCCTCTCCTCCCCTCCCCTCCTCTCCATTCTCCTTTCCTTTCCTCTCCATTCCATTCCATTCCATTCTGTTTTCATGCTTATTCCTATTCTTATGCTTATTCTTAAAATTGCAGCTTATGATTGAACGGTGGGGCCCTTAGTGCTCTCTGAGCTTGAATAATTTTTGCAGATGTTTCATTACCCAACGAGGTAATCTCATCAGTGCTAGAAGGGAGTGGGGTTTGCATTCCATTCCATTCCATTCCATTCTCTATATTCAGTCTCTTCTCTTCTCTTCTCTTCTCTTCTCTTCTCTTCTCTTCTCTTCTCTTCTCTTCTCTTCTCTTCTCTTCTCTTTCTCTTTCTCTTTCTCTTTCTCTTTCTCCTTCTCTTCCCTTCCCTTCCCTTCCCTTCCCTTCCCTTCCCTTCCCTTCCCTTCCCTTCCCTTCTCTTCTCTTCTCTTCTCTTCTCTACCAGGTCTATTCTATTCTATTCTATTCTATTCTATTCTATTCTATTCTATTCTATTCTATTCTATTCTATTCTATTCTTTATTCTCTATTCTCTATTCTCTATTTTCAACTCTACTCTACTCTACTCTACTCTACTCTACTCTACTCTACTCTACTCTACTGTAGTCTATTCTCATGTCTTGCCTTTTTGTTTAGCGTGCTGTTCCCTCCCCCTTCCCTGTGCTACACAAAACACAAAACATAGCTCACACAAGGAAATGGGTAGCTTGGTGGGGACACAAGTATGACGGAGAGCCTCAAGCCAGATGTTTCCGCTCAACCGTTGGAAAAAATGTGGTCAATTAGTCATGTTCTCGGGGCCTGTACATTTCCTTATTGTTCAATAGATGCTCTCTGTGGTTCTTTATAGTTCATAAATCTGGGACTTGGTTCCAGCCATGTGGCCTCCTGTCTTCTTCGGCAGTAGTTTTTTTTTTACGTTCATCATCTAGCACAGGTCATCTTCGACTTACAACCATTTGTTTGGTGGCTGTTCAAAGTTACAACGGCACAGCCATACCTTGGGAGGGGGAAAGACAAAGATGCCATTGATCCAAAAGAAGACAATATGGCCCAATAGACCCTCCACCCAAAGGTGTGTTCAAGAAGGTCAAAAATAAAAATAAAAATAAGGAGGTTACAGAATAATGCCTTGGTAAGACCACACTTGGAATATTGCATCCGGTTTTGGTCGACACGATATAAACAGGGGTGGGATTCAGCCAGTTCGGACTGGTTTGACCGAACCGGATGTTAATTTTAATCTGGTTTAGTTTAGTTTAGTTAAGTTTATTTGATTTATATACCACCCTACTCCCGAAGGACTCAGGGCGGTGAACAGCCACAAGATAAAAACGCATAAATACAAAATTTAAAAACAGAATAAAACCAAATTAAACAATTTGGCCGAAGACAGATTTAAAAGACAATTAAAAACGAATTAAAATTTGTGTTTTAAAAAGGAAAAAAAGGGAAAAATTAGGCCAGGCCAGCCTGATGGAATAAAAAAGGTCTTGAGAGCACGGCGGAAGGTGCGTAGATCCGGGATCCTCCGGATCTCCGGGGGGAGCTCATTCCAGATAGTAGGTGCCCCCACAGAGAAGGCTCTGCCCCTGGGGGCCGCCAGTCGACATTGTTTGGCCGACGGCACTTGGAGGAGCCCCTCTCTATGGGAGCGTACCGGCCGGTGGGAGGCTACTGGTAGCAGCAGGTGGTCCCATAGATAACCAGGTCCTAAGCCATGGAGCTCTCTAAAGGTGGTAACCAAGACCTTGAAGCGCACCCGGAAGACCACCGGGAGCCAGTGCAACTCACGCAGGAGAGGTGTTACATGAGAACGCCATGTCGCTCCCATAACCACCCGCGTGGCCGCAGTCTGTGGCAGTTGGAGCCTCCGGGTGCTCCTCAAGGGGAGCCCCATGTAGAGAGCGTTGCAGTAGTCCAGGCGGGAAGTGACGAGGGCATGAGTGACCGTGCGTAAAGAGTGCGTAAAGAATGGTTTGGCAAACCGGTTGTTCCAAGGACTGGTTGACCCCACCCACCCTGCCCCGCCCCTCCCAGAAGTCTCCACCCAGCCTGTTTTGGATGCCAGGTAAGTGCAGGGCTCACATGGAGGCTCTGGGAGGGCGAAAAATGGGACTACTGGAAGTCTGGAAATGGGCCTGTTTCCTGCATCTGGAGGGTCTCCAGTGCCCAGGGGAGGCTGTTTTCACCCTCCTGGAGGCTCGAGGAAAGCCTCTGGAGCCTGGGGAGAGTAAAAAACAGGCCTACCGGAAGTACCAGAAGTCTGGAATCTGGCCCATTTCCAGCCTCCGGAGGGCGCGTGAAGCGAACTGGTTGTTACAACCGGTGAATCCCACCATTGGATATAAAAAAGATGTTGAGACTCTAGGAAGAGTGCAGAGACGGGTAACAAAGATGATTAGGCTAAAACATTTAGACAGAATACAAAATGACAGAGTTGGAAGGGAACCTTGGAGGTCTTCTAGTCCAACCCCCTGCTCAGGCAGGAAGCCCTAGGCCATTTCAGACCAATGGTTGTCCAATCTCCTCTTAAAAACTTCCAGTATTGGAGCATTTACAACTTCTGGTGGCAAGTTGTTCCACTGGTTAATTGTTCCAACTGTCAGGGAATTTCTCCTTACTTCTAAGTTGCGTCTTTCCTTGATGAGTTTCCACCCATTGTTTCTTGTCCTGCCCTCAGGTGCTTTGGAGAATAGCTGGACTCCCTCTTCTTTGGGGCAGCCCCTGAGATATTGGAACACGGCTATCATGTTACCCCAAGTCCTTCTTTTCATTAAACATACGAAGAATGATTGCAGGAATTGGGTATGTCCAGTCGAGTGAAAAGAAGGACCAGGGGAGACATGATAGCCGTGTTCTAGTATTTGAAAAAATAATTGTACACTCCCTACGCAAGGCAGTCAGCCTGGGTTCAAAGGAGGCTACCGTATGCCATGAGTCATGCATTTGGCCCTGACCCAGCATGATCCTTCTGCTTCATTATTTTATATTTTCCTTTCAGGTTGTTTTTAACTCTTTCAACCCTTGTTCAATGCTCAGAATATGCCTCCTCCTCCTTCTCCTCCTTTTCCTTCTTTCCCCTCCTCCTCCTCCTCTCCTCTCCTTCCCCTTTCTTCCCTCTCCTTCACCTTCTTCTCCTTCCTTCTTTCTCTTTCCTTCTCCTTCTCCTTCTGCTCTTCGTTTTCCTTTTCTTTCTCATCTTCCTTTTCCTCTCTTCTCTTTCTCCCTTCTCCTCTCCCTCCCCTTTCTTCCTCTCCTTCACCTTCTTCTCCTTCCTTCCTTTCCTCCTCCTCTCCTTCTTCTTCTTTCTTCTCCTTCTTTCTTTCTCTCTTCTGCTCTTTGTTTTCTTTCTTTCTCATCTTCCTTTTCCTTTTCCTCTTCCTTCTCTTTCTCTTTCTCCCTTCTCCCTTCTCCTCCTCCTCTCCCTCCCCTTTTTCCCTCTCCTTCACCTTCTTCTCCTTCCTTCTTTCTCCTCCTCCTTCTTCTCCTTCTCCTTCTCCTTCTCTTTTCCTTCTCTTTCTTCTTCTCCCTTCTCCCTCCCCTTCTCCCCTCTTCTTCACCTTCCTTCTCCCTTCTCCTCCTCCTCTCCCTCCCTTTTTTCCCTCTCCTTCACCTTCCTCTCCTTCCTTCTTTCTCCTTCCTCCTTCTTCTCCTTCTCTTTCTCCTTCTGCTCTTCATTTTCCTTCTCTTTCTCCTCTTCGTTTTCCTTCTCTTTCTCCCTTCTCCTTCTCCTCTCCCTCCCCCTCTTCTTTCTCTACCCCTTCTCCTTCTCCTTTTCTTTTCCTTCTCTTTCTTCTTCTCCCTTCTCCCTCCCCTTCTCCCCTCTTCTTCACCTTCCTTCTTCCTCCCCTCCTTCTCCTTCTTTCTTTTTCTTTTTCTCCTTCTCCTTCTCCTCGTCTCTCCTCCTCCTCCCCCTCCCCTCCCCCATCTCCTTCTGCTTCTCCCTTCTCTTTTCTCCTCCCTTCTTCTTTCTTCATGCCCGATAAATAGATTTAAAAAGCAACAACCAGGAAATAAATAACATTCCTGGTGAAATATGACCATTTTGACAGCTTTACGAAATTATGCCAGGAAGGAGGGGGGCTTCTCTGAGTCACGCAGGGCTTGATTTGACAAATGCCTCCCCATTGAAGCTCAAATTTAAGAAATGTGTCATTGGGTACCTCGACCTAAAAATTTGGGCCGGCCGAATTTCCCCCAAGGCTGTCCTCATAAGCCAAGAACAGACAAATGCCTCTCATTATGTTTGCCTCAAAAGCATGTTTATATCTTGGCTGCAAGATTGCAAGTCACTTCCACACCCTTGTCACTAAATTGCTCTCAGGGCTGGGTCCCACTAACCAGGAAAAGCTTTCAAAATGTTCGAATAGGTAGCCATGCAAATTACTCTCTATTCAGCTCCATGTGGACGGGGTCAGAATTGGTGGGTAACTTGGACAAGGCACGCAGTGAAAGCAGTGGTGAAATTCAAATTTTTTTACTACCAGTTCTGTGGGCATGGCCCAGTGGGCGTGGCATGGCTTGGTGGGTGTGGCTTGGTGGGCGTGGCTTGGCATGGCAGGGGAAGGTTACTGCAAAATCCCCATTTCCTCCCGATCAGCTGGGACTTGGAAGGCAGAGAAAATGGGGGCGGGGCCAGTCAGAATTTTTACTACCAGTTCTCCGAACAACTCAAAATTTCCGCTACCGGTTCGCCAGAACTGGTTAGAATCTGCTGAAAGCCACCGCTGGCGTGGCTTGATGGGCATGGTGTAGCTTGTGGCTTGGTGGGCATGGCAGGGAAAGGATATTGCAACCTCTCCATTCCCACCCCACTCTGGGGCCAGCCAGAGATGGCATTTGCCAGTTCTCCGAACTAGTCAAAATTTCCGCTACCGGTTCTCCAAACTGCTCAAAATTTCCGCTACCAGTTCTCCAGAACTGGCAGAACTGCTGAAACCCACCTCTGGCGTGGCTTGGTGGGCATGGCAGGGGAAGGATGCTGCAATTCCCTCCCACTCCAGGGAAAGAATATTGCAAACTCTCCATTCCCACCCCACTCTGGGGCCAGCCAGAGATGGTATTTGCCAGTTCTCCAAACTGCTCAAAATTTCCGCTACCAGTTCTCCAGAACTGGTCAGAACCTGCTGAATTTCACCTCTGAGTGAAAGGCAGTAAGCAAGAGGTGGTTTTGATTTCCTTTCAATCTCTTCAACTTTTCCTAACCGGAACTTTGTTTTTTTCTTAGATAAGTCCAGTGAGAGGACCTCGCGAAGGAGGAACCAGAGTGACCATCCGAGGAGAAAATCTCGGTCTGGAGTTCTGGGACATCGCGACCCATGTCAAAGTTGCTGGCGTGGAGTGTGTTCCCTTGATGGATGGATACATCGCAGCAGAGCAGTAAGTGAGGTCTGCAGGGCAAAGCGTTTTCATGAAAACCTTAAGGCCAGGATGGGATTGCAAAGGAATCTGGACTTGCAAGGCCAAAGAGGGAATCCCCATAAGTGGAGCTTGATCTGGGGGGCGGGGGGGGGCACTGCAGAAGAGTCCATGTTGTTTTCTTGGTAACAGTATCAAACATGGCTTCCATGGCCATGGGTTTGGTGGTTTGGCTGGCTTCCCAATTTAATTAATAGTTCTAGAAATTTATTTTTTTTTAATTTATATATGCCGCCCTTCTCCGGAGACTCAGGGCGGCTTACAATGCGTTAAGCAATAGCCTTCATACTTTTGCATATTTTATACAAAGTCATTTATTGCCCCCACAAACTGGGTCCTCAATTTACCTACCTTAGAAAGGATGGAAGGCTGAGTCAACCTTGAGCCTGGTGAGATTCGATTTACTTTAATTGCAGACAGCTGGTGTTAAATTACAGTGCCTTGTCCGCAGAGCTATCCAGGCTCCTTTTTCTGCTGCTTCCCCCTCCACTATCCATCCATCCATCCATCCATCCTACAACCCACCCACCCACCCACCCATCAACACAACCATCCACCTACCAGTGGTGGGATTAATCTTTTCTTTTTTACTACCGGTTCTGTGGGTGTGGCTTGGTGGCGTGGCATGGCGTGGGCATGGCAGAGGAAGGATACTGTATAATCTCCATTCCACCCCACTCCAGGGGGAGGTTATGGCAAAATCCCCATTTCCCGATCAGAGACAAAGAATAGATGGGGGGGGCCAGCCAGAGGTGGTATTTACCGGTTCTCTGAACTACTCAAAATTTCCGCTACAGGTTCTCCAGAACTGGTCAGAACCTGCTGAATACCACCTCTGCCACCCACCCACCCACCCACCCAACACACAGACACATCCATCTATCCATCCATCCATGAATTCATCCATCCATCCATCCATCAACAATTCACCCACCCACCCACCCAACACACAAACATCCATCCGTCCGTCCGTCCATCCGTCTGTCTGTCTCTATCCAAACAACCAAACAACCCACCAGCAATTTACTTACTAACTTACTTAAATCACCAATAACCATTTTCTAACTTGGATGTTGTCCCCACTTTCTCAAAATTAGTCAGGATCACTGCAGAGTCATGCAAATGCATTAACTTACTTTTAACAAATTGTAATTAGGCTTGTAAGACCGCAAACAAGTCTAAGCAGGGGGCATCCCTATCTTTGTAATCTGGGTTAACAATAAGACACTGCAATTAGTCTTTATGTACAAATAATGCAAAACACTTTGCAAGGTCTAGAGAATCTTTCATTGTTTTTTTAAAAAGGAAGAGGAGGGGAAGGGGAAGACGAGAAGGAGGGGAAGAAATGGAAGTGGGAGGAGGAGGAGAGGAGGGAGCAAGAAGAGGAGTAAGAGGAGGAGGAGGAGGAGGAGGAGGAAGAAGGAGAAGGAGAAGGAGAAGGAGAAGGAGAAGAAGAAGAAGAAGAAGTTGTTATTATGCCATGAAAGCGAAGATACAAAAATCCACTAACAATCCAAACTGCCGACTTTGCTATGACAGAGTTGAAACTTTTTCACACTTAATATGTGAGGGCAGCAAAATCGCGCAAACTGATTACAAAGCTAGACATGATCGAATTGCTAAATTAATCCACTGGTCATTATGTAAAAAACAGGCCCTACCAGTATCTGAAAAGCACAAAGTGGAAAAAGTTGTTGAAGCTGAGATGATGAAGATCTTGTGGGATTTTCAAATACAGACAGATCGTCATTTGGAACACAACATGCCAGATATCACAGTTGTCGAGGGCCGAAGCGTACAATTTATTGATATCGCGGTACCAGGAGACGCCAGAATCGAAGAAAAAGTAAATCACGAAATATCGCGATCTGGCCATCGAAAGTACCTGATTATGGATGAAACATGTGCCAGTGATACCCATTGTCATCGGGGCGCTTGGTACCATGTCCAAGAATTTTACAAAACGCATCAAGGAATTGCAGCTTCCTGCAATCACGCCAGCGGAACTGCAAAAAACTGCGCTACTCGGAACATCATATATTTTAAGAAGATACTTGGTTGATATTTAGGACGCTGGCAGCAACCCGTATCAACCATTAGCACCTGTCACTCGTGTTTGTGACACATTTTTAAATGTTCAGTTGACTGAGTTTCATGTTTAATGTATATGATGATGATAATAATAATAATAATATCCTGCAATTCTCAGTCAGTGCCAAGATGATTCAGGAGGCAATCTTGAGCTTATGTGGCATCAGATAGTAATCAACCTTTAAGGACAAAGTTCCCCGCAGTTCTGAAAACATATTGTGTTTCCCCAAAAATAAGACCCTGTCCTTTTTTTTTTGGGAACCCTGAAATAAGCGCTTGGCCTTATTGCCATGTGCTCAAAAGCCCAATTGGGCTTATTATCAGGGGAGGTCTTATTTTGGGGAAAACAGGGTAGCAGCCCATCCCACCTTCTACTCTGGGCCCAGAATCATCTCAACCCAGCTGCATCTTTTGCTTGAACTGGAGATCTTGGTTCTCCATCCATCATTTTTTTGGTCCGTCTCAGGCCACCGAGCTCTGAAATTAGTTGAAAGCAAAACCAGCTTCGCCAACCTGGTGCCCTCCAGACGAACCGGACTGGAAATCCTTGCAAATGCAACGTGCTTGCAGGGGTTTAGAAATTATGGACCTGCAGTCCCAATATCTGAGCTCTGGCTGGGGAACATGGGCTTTGGGGTGGTGGTGGTAAATGCACTTCATCCCATAAAATCAGCTGGTTGTGAGCTTGGAAAAAGGCTTCTAAATTAGTCTGACTTTCTCCACTTAGATTGTAGGAAAATAATATAGGTAGGGCTTGATTTACAACCAGAATTGAACCCACAATTTCCTGAGACAGTTGTTAAGTGAATTTTGCCCCGTTTTATGACCTTTCTTGCCACAGTTGTTAAGCGAATCACTGCAGTGGTTAAGTTAGTAACATGGTTGTTAAGTGAATCTGGCTTCCCCGTTGACTTTGCTTGTTAGAAGGTAACAAAAGGGGATCATGTGACCCCGGGACACCGCAACTGTCAATTACTAAGTTTGTAAAAAAGGGGCAAAATTCATTTAACTGTCTTCCTTAGTAGCAGAAATTTAGGCTTCCATTGTGGTCATAAATTGAGGACTACCTGTAATTTGAAAACATCAAATTTAGCAGGGCATTCATTGTCTACTCCCTTCTAACACTGATGATGTTACCTAACTGGGTGATGAAACGTCTGGAAGAGAATCACTCATCTCCTCCTCCTCCTCCTCTTCCTCCTCCATTTTGCAAACCCCCCCTCTCTTCTAACACTGATGACGTTACCTAGTAGAGTCATGAAATGTCTGTAAGAAAGCAACCGAGCTCAGAGAGCGCCAAGGAGCCCACGTGCATTTCTGTCCTCCACAATTTTACAAACGAATCTCATTTTTCCTTGCAATCAATCCAGCTGGTAAGATGCCATGAAACTCCCTTTGGAAACTGTGAAGTAGCTCACCAAAGGAAAAACTCAGCCTTTGAACATCTCTACTTTCCTTCTAGAATTGTCTGTGAGATGGGCGAAGCAAAACTCAGCCAGCATGCTGGATACGTGGACATTTGCGTGGCTGAATGCAGACCAGAATTCATGGCGAAATCCTCCCAGTTCTATTACTTCACGGTAAGTCTGTGCTTCAGATCTGCCTGGTAGTCTTTTAAAGTAGCTGTGTCTTTTTAAAATAGCTCTGTGCTTTCAAATTAGCTGTGTCCTTTTAAAGTAGCGTGTCCTTTTAAAGTAGCCGTGTCCTTTTAAAGTAGCCCTGTGCTTTCAAATTAGCTGTGTCCTTTTAAAGTAGCCCTGTGCTTTCAAATTAGCTGTGTCCTTTTAAAGTAGCCGTGTCCTTTTAAAGTAGCCCTGTGCTTTCAAATTAGCTGTGTCCTTTTAAAGTAGCCCTGTGCTTTCAAATTAGCTGTGTCCTTTTAAAGTAGCTGTGTCCTTTTAAGTAGCTCTGTGCTTTCAAATTAGCTGTGTCCTTTTAAAGTAGCTCTGTGCTTTCAAATTAGCTGTGTCCTTTTAAAGTAGCCATGTCCTTTTAAAGTAGCTCTGTGCTTTCAAATTAGCTGTGTCCTTTTAAAGTAGCCCTGTGCTTTCAAATTAGCTGTGTCCTTTTAAAAGTAGCTCTGTGCTTTCAAATTAGCTGTGTCCTTTTAAAGTAGCCCTGTGCTTTTAAAATAGCCGGGTCCTATTAAAGTAGCTGGGTCCAGCTTGCCTTCAGAAATTGTGGGTGCTCCATCACTGGAGGATTTTAAGAAGAGACTGGACAGCCATTTGTCTGAAATGGTACAGGTAGTCCTCGACTTAAAACAGTTCATTTAGTGACCGTTCTTGAGTTACAACAGCATTGAAAAAAAAAAGTGACTTATGAGCACTTTCCACACTTACAACCGTTGCAGCATCCCCGTGGTCACGTGATTTACATTTGGATGCTTGACAGCTGGTTCATATTTATGACGGTCGCAGTGTCCCAGGGTCGTGCAATCCCCTTTTGCAACCTAGTGACCAGGAAAGTCAATGGGGAATCCAGATTCACTTAACAATTGTGTTACTAATTTAACAGCTGTGACAACTATGACAAGAAAAGTCGTAAAATGGGGCAAAACTCACTTAATAAATTTCTCACTTAGCAACGTCAATTTGGGGCTCAATCGTGGTTGTAAGTCAAGAACTCCCTGTATAGGGTCTTCTGCTTGAGCAGAGGGTTGGACTAGAGGACCTCCGAGGTCCCTTCCAGCTCTATTCTGATTGAGTTTCAATTGAGATTTCCTGGAATGCAGGAAAAAACACAGCTGCTTTAAAGAGCAGTACACAAGGGCAACTTTCATGATCTCCCAAGCAGATTGTTGAAATCAAATCCAAAATATTTGCAATTAAAAACTGAAGAGGTAAATTTTGGGGTAAATTTTGACTTTATTTGCCCTCTTTCCAAATCTGTTTCTTGTGTGCAAATGGCAACACAATCCTTCCTCTTCTGCGCATGTGTGTGTGTGTGTGATGGCATGCTCCTTCTGCAAAAAGAAGTTTGTGCCATGATGATGTGAGATTGTGGTCATCATTTGTGGCCAGACAGGCAATAAAATAAATAGATAGATAGATAGATAGATGGATGGATGGATGGATGGATGGATGGATGGATGGATGGATGGATGGATGGATGGATAGATAGATAGATAGATAATCCTGTAGATACAGCTAGTCCTCGACTTAACAGCCACAATTGAGCCTGAAAGTTCCGTTGCTAAGTGAGACATTGGTTAAGTAGACTTGAGCCTCATTTTACGACCTTTCTTGCCACGTTTGTTAAGCGAATCACTGCAATTGTTAAGCAAGTCACACGGTTGTTGAGTGACTCCATCTTCCCCATGGACTTTGCTTGTTAGAAGGTCGCAAAAGGGGATCGCACGATCCCGGGGACATCATGACTATCATAAATTAGTAAGTTTGTAAAAAGGGGCAAAATTCATTGAAAAAACTGTTTTCCTTTAGTAACAGAAATTTAGGCCTCCATTGTGGTCATAGGTTGAGGACTACCTGTTGAAAACACTAGATTTAGTAGGGCATTCATTTTCCACTCCCTTCTAACACTGATGATGTTACCTAGCTGGGTGATAAAACATCTGCAAGAGAATCACCCATCTTCTCCTCTTCCTCCATTCTGCAAACTCCCACTCTCTTCTAACACTGATGATATTACCTAGTTGGGTCATGAAATGTCTATTGACACCCTGACTGTCATAAATATGAACCACCTGTCAGCGGCTGAATTTTGAATTTTCGTGAATTTTCGTGAATTTTCATGAATTTTCATGAATTTTCATGAATTTTCATGAATTTTCATGAATTTTGAAACTTCACACGAATTTTCGTGTGAAAAACGATCATAAGGCAACTTTTTCAGTGCCATTGTAACCAAATGGTCACTAAATTGTGAGGACTAGAAATATGGTGAAACCTTGGCTTAAAGACGAGTGTCAAATAGAAAAAAAATGGATTTATTTTTTGTACCAGTTTTCATTCTGTTTGAGGGAAAGGCCTCCCCTTGGAAATTCCTCTTGTGTTGGAAATCTCTCAGGAGCGAAATAAGATATTTTTGCACTCGCTTCCTAATGAGGTTGGCCTCGGGGCATATTTGAATATTCTGATGTTTCACACAGTCACCTCTAAGATGTTTCGTGTTTATATTCACAAAAGAAGACATTTGGAAGAACGGTTCACAAAGTGATGGCAGAAGGCGATATCCTGCCCTTAGGAAACCGGGGAGGGTTTCTCGTTTCCCCTGAAAAGGTTTGGAGACGTCCTCCAGCTGGTTTCTCAAAAGGTAGAGGTAAAGATTTCCCACGTCTGGTTGGGGCATTGCTCATCTCTGTTTCCTAGCCGAGAGAGCACGTCTTCTGTGTGGGCTGTGCAGTGGTGGGATCCTCCCAGTTTAACAACTAGTTCAGTGATCACGCGATTTGCTCATGCACACGTGTGTGTGCACAGTTTGAAAAAAAACTCTTCACTTCCTGGTTTCTTCGGAGTAACACAGCTGATTCGCGTGGCAATCCACTCTACCATGCGAATCAGCTGAGAAGATAAAGGTAGGAAAATAGCATAGGTGGGCAGGCGGGCCCATCTGATCGTTGGGACAAACCAGTTCGCTCCCAGCTGATCATCGGAGATACCAGTTCTCCCGAACCGGTCCGAACTGGTAGAATCCCACCCCTGCTTCTGTGGCCATGTGGTCAGTACGATTATATGCCGAACACTGTTTCCTTCTCACCAAAGTGGTACCTATTGATCTACTCACATTTGCATGCTTTCGAACAGCTAGTTGGGAAGAAGCTAGAGCAAGGAATGGGAGCTCACCCCATCACATGGGGCTCAGGTCTTGAACCTGGACTGTCGGCTTTCTAGCTGACTATCTCAGGGTCTTTAACCACTGAGTTATCGCACCCCTCCTGCCCATGAAATTGGCGGGAAATTGCAGAAACATACTGAGCTCTCCTCAACTTCAGCAGAGGACGTGGTGTGACTAGGGAGACCTATATAGTCCTAAATCCTGGGGCAACATCTGAGAAGGCCCTTCCATTGTTAAGTGTTAAGACAGTTGTTAAGTGAGTTTTGCCTCATTTTACGACCTTTCTTGTCACCGTTGTTAAGTGAATCACTGCAGTAGTTAAGTTAGTCACACAGTTGTTAAGTGAATCTGGCTCCCCCATTGACTTTGCTTGTCAGAAGGTCACAAGAGGCAGATCACATAACCCCGGGACCCTGCAACTGTCACAAACATGAGTCAGTCATCAAGTGTCTGGATTTTGATCATATGACCCTGGGGGGATGTTGAAACGGTCGCAACTGTGAAAATCGGCCATAAGTCACATTTTTCAGCATTGTTGTAACTTCAAAGGGTCACGAAAAAAATGGTTGTAAGTTGAAGAGTCACGTGATCCCCTTTTGCAACCAAAGTCAACGGTGGAAGCCAGTTTCACTCAACAACTGCAGTGATTCGCTTAACAGCCATGGCAAGAAAGATGGTCCAATGGGGCAAAGCTCCCTTAGCAGAAGTCTCACTTAGCAATAGGAATTCGGGGCTTAATTGCGGTCATAAGTCAAGGACTACCTGTACAGAGGATTCCTCATGGCCCTGCACACACAACCTTGTGAATCGTGCTATCTAGAATTTGTTAAGGCAGCTGTGAATCATTAATAAACCACAGCAACATACCGCACACCTGTAAATGAGATGATAATAAATTTCTGTGTGTTATGATTGTAACACCTCCGGAAATTCCTAGGCCCTCTCGGGACTGGAAAGGACTAGTATTTATTTTACTTTATGTATAGCAGTTGTTCACCTGCCAATGAAAGCTGCGAGTAAACTTACAAAGAGTAAGAAATAAAGAGCGGTTTGGAGCTGGGGATCTAAAAAAAACAGGCGGCAGGAAAAAACGGGGAGGGAGGAAGAGAGGAAAACTAAAAGGAATATCAAATATTTATTCTAGGATAGTCACTTGGTAGATTTTGCTGCAGCCTTGTGCCGTTTTGTCAAGAACTGAGATGTTGTGGTTGTGGCAACATTAAAACGGAATAATATTGTATGATTTTTTTTCCCCCAGTTGTGTAGCTCAGGGTACAGCTGGTCCTCGACTTATAACCCGTTCATTCAGTGACCATTTGTAGTTACAGCGCGTGCTCCATATGATTGGGATTTTTTGTGCTTACGGCCGCCGCAGCATTTCCAGGGTCACGGGATCAGAATTAACGGAATTAACTCATTTCGTGGGTCCGTGCAACTTATTGAGCTGGAAATGAGCTAACTGCGTTGGGTTCAGCTAACAGGCGAGAAAAAAAAGTTCCTTCAAATAAAAGGAATTCTGGGAGAGGAAGTCCACATGTCTTAAACACTAGTCTAAAATAACACCCTCACTAAACCTGAGGTGGTATTCAGCCGGTTCGAACCGGTTCGGGCGTACTGGTAGCGGAAATCATGGGTGGACTAGGCTGTCCTATTTAGGCACGTTTTTGAGGCCGGGTGGAGGTGCGGAAGGCGCGCGTGAGAGAAAAGCACATGCGCAGAAGGCTGGGCGCATGCACGGAAGGTGTGCGTGCGAAGCGAGCGAGCGCGCTTGGGGCGAACCGGTGATAACAAAATGTGAAACCCACCGCTGCACTAAACCCACCTTAAAATTACTCGGCAAAACAGAAGAACCAAACAATGTCGGCTGACGACCCCCAGGGGGAGGGCGTTCTCTGTGGGAGCCCCGGCCCTCTGGGATGGATTGCCCACTGAGCTCAGGACAGCCCCCGACCTTCTTTCCTTCCGTCGCGAGCTGAAGACGTGGCTCTTCCGCCAATTAAACTGATCCGTTTGGGGGTACACTGGTTTAATTTTAAATCGTTTTTTAATTGGGTTACTGATTTTAATTTGGTATTGTATTGTGATTTGTATTGAAGTTGTCATTTTGTAAGCCGCCTTGAGTCCCTAGGGAGAAAGGCGGCATATAAATCGCAATAAATAAATAAATAAATAAAATAAGAACAAAATAAATTGGTACATATCGGTACACAGACCAACCTTGGCAAGTTTAAGACATGTGGATTTCAACTCCCAAAATTCGCTGGCTGGGGAATTCCGGGAGTTGAAGTCCACTCATCTTAAAGTGGAGAAAAACTTGGTTTAGGGGCATCGAGAGGGCATCCAGCTGCTCCTTCATCAAACTGTCAACCTTTTCTGCCAAAGTAGTTGAAAAGAAGTGGAGGAGAAACCGGGGGGGGGGAGAGAACCCCTCATTTAAATGCAGATGGCGGCTTTTTGCGTGGGACCCAGCTGAAAAGTTTTTCTATTAAAATGTAAATGAAGGAAGAAATGGCAACTCCAGATTTCTCCAGGAAAAAAAAAAAACGGATGAATGTCTGTCCGTTCTTCAGGATCACGGGGATGGGTTTGCCTCTTAAATAAAACAGGGGGTGTTGGGGGGAACACACGTTATCTTGATGATGGGCTGAAAGGCAAGAGAGGAAGGGAGGAGGGTGGGGTTGAAGTCTTTTCTCTCCGTCCTTATTTATATAGAATGACAGGTTGCTCCGTGGTTTGGGGTTTTTTTCAGGCAGTGGAAGCAGGAGGTGGCTTTGAGGTTGGATTGAGGATAATCTGTGTGTGTGTGTGTGAGAGAGAGACAGAGACAGAGACAGAGACAGAGACAGAGACACAGATAAAAATCAAGCTATCCATCCATCCATCAATCCATCCATCCATTAACAAACAAGTAGATTGTTTCAATAATAAAGCAAAATTTAGTTCCTTTCCTTTCCTTTCCTTTCCTTTCCTTTCCTTTCCTTTCCTTTTCTTCCCTTCCCTATCCTTCCCTATCCTTCCCTTCCCTTCCCTTCCTTTCCCTTCCCTTCCCTTCCCTTCCCTTCCCTTCCCTTCCCTTCCCTTCTCTTCTCTTCTCTTCTCTTCTCTTCTCTTCTCTTCTCTTCTCTTCTCTTCTCTTCCCTTCCTTTCCCTTCCCTTCCCTTCCCTTCCTTCCCTTCCCTTCCCTTCCTTTTCTTTCTTCCTCTTCCTTTCTCTTTCTCTTCCTTCCTTTCCTTGCTTGCTTGCTTGCTTGCTTCCTTCCCTCCCTCCCTCCCCTTTTAAATGCAATGCTCATTTTCATCAACTAGGAGGAACCTCCTACTGACCATTTTCTGGATCCAAGCAATCTGTTGAGCTGGAAATTATCTAATTAGGCTGGGGTCAGCAGCTGCTATCACATTCAGCGACCAGGCAAAAAAAGAGACCCTTAAAATTAAAAGTCACCCTGTCTTGCATATTGGATAACTGCAAAACTATAGAATTTAGTTCGGTGTTGTTGGGTGAATTCCGGGAAAGTCATGGATAGTTCTTTGGTGAGCCCAGTGACTAACATTTCTTTATTCATAAAATTAGTATGAATTTCATCATAAATTTTTGAAGTAAATGCCTGTCAGAGTATGGATATTCATAGCAGGGGTGGGTTCTACTTATCTTTACTACCAGTTTGCAACGGGATCACACAGATCGCTGATGACAACATCCGGGGCGGTGGGTGTGCGGCCTCCTGCCAGTTTTATTACCGGTTCTTGTGAACCGGTCCGAACCGGGGGCAACCTGTTAGGAAATGATGATTACCTAACTTGTTGGGTTGGCAATATATAAAACCTCAATATAGCTTTAAGACTGTATTGCTGTATTGCATCATACTGTGTCCTGATTGGTTAGCTCTGTAGCCAATGTCCTTAAGAGGGAGCTTGAAACATGGTTAGTTTCTCTGCTGATCTCTCTGCTGATCTTTGCTGAACCTTACAGCTTGTTACTGCTATTTGCTGTGTTTGCTACTGTTTGCAACTGTTTATTATGTATGACTACGACGACTGGTAAGAAGACTTTGTTATTGGAATATCCCTGGACTATTGTTTTACTATCTACTGCTTTATCTGTGTATAACCTGGACTGTTTATTGGACTGTGCCTTATTACTATTTCCTAAAAGTAAACACAACTCAGTGTATCTGTGTGTTGGCTGTGATTATTCGCAACTGCTCTCAGTCGCTTTCATGTGTGCACCCTTGCTACTCTAGGGTTGCTCTGTGAATTCCTTAACACAACCCACCACTGATTTATAGACTGGAATAGGCAACAGGTCAGCCAATGGGGACTGTTTGGAAACTGAAACATAGTATGGGGCCATAAGAGACAGTTAGGAGCCTGGGTGTGGCTTAGACTTGCTGAAGTGTATATAAGAGTTGGTTCGGGCTCTGTAATGGGAGCCTCTGTACAATGTATTAGCCTCTGTATCTCTCTACTCTATAATGACTTGCTTCTATGAATATTGCTTCCATGGTCCTGATATTGTATGCTGAATTCTGCTGTATGGGATTGTATATAAAGAAGTTTCTTATGTAGCTGAATCCTGCAGAACTATTTAATTGTGTCTGATTGTGTGTGCTGCAACAAACTCTGATAGGACCAGTGGGTGGGTTGCTACCAGTTTGCCCCGGATCGGGCGAATCAGTAGCGGTGGCGGCGGGAGGCTCCTCCCACCTTCCTGGATGTCTCTGCGCATGTGCAGAAGTTTCTGCACATACAGAAGTGTGCACGTGCACTTGCGTGTATGCAAGTGCACATGCACCCATGAGTGAACCGGTAGTGACGGGATTTGAATCCCACTACTGGGTAGTACCCATCTTACTTCAAGATAACTCTTAACAGGTATCTAATACACAGTCCAGTGTTATTTTTTTGAAAAAAAGCTTTCCAAGGATGCTAACTCAGATCGGTCGTCTCTCGAATGAACAACGTCTGGTCTTTTATTTTCATCAGGCCCTGCTGTCACCCTTTCAGGGTATTGCTATTCCATTCAATTTCGCTTTCTTTTTCCCTTTCCTTTTTTTTTTTTTTAGATGCTGTCTCTTTCTGACCTCAGGCCAAAGCAAGGACCAATATCGGGTGGTACCCAAGTCACGATCACGGGCAAAAACCTAAATGCGGGAAGCAACGTTTCCGTAATGTTCGGAGAATATCCTTGTCTTTTCCACCGGTAAGTTTCTCTGAGTTTTGCTTGCTTGAGGGAAAGAGTGAGAACGATACAGGTAGTTCTCGACCATTCTTTTAGTGACCCTTTGAGTGGACAATGACACTGAGAAAAGTGACTTATGACCAGTCTTCACACTTATGATCCCACAGTCGTCTTCTTCTTCTTCTTCTTCTTCTTCTTCTTCTTCTTCTTCTTCTTCTTCTTCTTCTTCTTCTTCTTCTTCTTCTTCTTCTTCTTCTTCTTCTTCTTCTTCTTCTTCTTCTTCTTCTTCTTCTTCTCCTCCTCCTCCTCCTCCTCCTCCTCCTCCTCCTCCTCCTCCCCCTCCCCCCCTCCCCCTCCCCCTCCTCCTCCTCCTCCTCCTTACAACCCCATAATCCCTTGCGGGGTGAAGTCTGGGCAACTGAATGAAGCTGAGTGATTACTGGCCAGATGCCCTTCCTGTTGCCAATGTGGAGTTTTGTTCAGCAGAGATATTCTCATTGTCTCCAGAGAGAAATATCTGCCTCTATCTAGGATCGAACTCACAGCCTCCTGATTGTGTGGCGAGAGCTCCAGCGCAGCACACTATTTGCTATCCCACAGTCACGTGATCAAAATTCAGATGCTTGACAATGGCTCCTATTATGACAGTTGCAGTGTCCCAAGATCACGTGATCCCCTTTTGCGACCTTCTGACAAGCCAGATTCACTTAACTGCCATGTTACTAACTTTGCAACTGCAGTGATTCGTTTAACAACGGTGGCAAGAAAGGTCATAAAATGGGGCAAAGCTCCCTTCACAACTGTCTCGCTTAACAACAGACATGTTGGGCTCAGTTTTGGTTGTTAAATCGAGGACTGCCTGTAAAAGTAGGAATTTTGGAGCTCAAGAATTGCAGAGCAGAACTGCAAAGAAGGTGTCTCTTTCTAGGCACCTGTTTCCTTATCCAGCTTAGTTATCTGAATTAATTAATTAACTGTCAAATTTAAATATGGATCATCTCACGCACAAAAATACCTTTACAAGGTAGCAGAATTCAGGAATCCGGGAGCACCATTTCCAAATAACGCATTGGGGCCAGCCGGAGGTGGCATTTGCCGGTTCTCTGAACTACTCAAAATTTCCGCTACCGGTTCTCCAGAACCTGTCAGAACCTGCTGGATTTCACCCCTGCTGGGGGTGTGTATAGCCATCAGAACTCTGGAGCTGGGTCATAAGCAGCTGGGGGTCTGTTGTCATTTTGGACTGCTCGAGTGGTGTGGTGGCCTAGAGGTAGAGCTCTCACCTCACAATCAGGAGGCTGTGAGTTCGATCCTAGGTAGAGGCAGCTATTTCTCTCTCTGGGCACAATGAGAATATATCTGCTGAAAAAAACTCCGCATTGGCAACAGGAAAGGCATCCGGCCAGTAAACACTCATCTCCATTCAGATGCCCAGATTCCACCACCCCGCAAGGGATTATGGGGTCATTAAAAGAAGATGATGATTAAGCGACTGGTCATGGAATGAATTAACCCCGGACATACGAAGGATCCCCAACCTCCGTGCCTTCCGTCGTGCAATGAAGACCCTGTTATTCCAGCAAGCCACTCTAATGGGATAAATGATTTTAATTTGGTCTTAATGGGGTTTTAAAATTGGTTTTAAAATGAGAGTTTTAAATTCGGCCCATGATTTAATTATTTTAATCTGCTCTTAAATTCTATTTTTGTACATTGTTTTTATTATGGCTGTTCACCGCCCTGAGTCCTTCGGGAGAAGGGCGGTATATAAATTAAATTAAATAAATAATAAATAAATAAATTAAGCGAGGACTCTCTGTATTGCCACTTTGTGCATCCGATGAAGCCAGTGCAGCTCCCAAAAGCTTAAGCATTTTTTTTTTTTTAATGTTAATGGGGGGGGGAAAATACTAGCAGACTCCCTATTTTTGCTATTTCTATTTTGCAGATGTCATCTGCAAAAAAAACCCCCAAGGAAGATGTTCAGAGAAGCTCCATTAAAATATCCCCTGGGTCACCTACATTATTGACATTTGGAGGAAGCCTTCGCTGGGGGCCGTGGGGGAGGGGGCATCCACAGGGGGTTGTCAAAATCTGTAGGAAGGCCAGTGTGACATTGCAACACCTGCCATCTTGCAGATTGTGTGGCTCGCGGACTGCAGGCAGTTCTGCTTGTCTCCCGGATTTGTATTCTCCCTGGCTTAAATGACCCCAGAAGTCCCACCTGCATCAAATGTGAGGCTGTGCAGAGCTTCGGTGGATGCGTTTGCTTGAGTCTCTTCCTGAAAGTTATTGAGGCCACTTGGAGGTGTGTCCTCTGGGTTCACCTGAATAGTGCAAATGGGTGTGGAAGCTTCTTGGAATTGCTGAAAGGACCGGAGACAGGAGGTGTTGCATCCCTCCTCCTCTGTTGAGGGAGGGCTGTTCAGTCTTAACATAGATGGCCTCTTTGACCCCCCCACCTTTCAAACCACTGGGCTTCTCTGCAGTGGTGGGATTCAAAAATTTTTACTACTGGTTCTGTGGGCGTGGCTTGGTGGGCGTGGCCAGGTGGGGTGACAGGCAGAACTCGGCCTCCTGCACCCTCTGTGGGAGCAAAAACAGGCCCCCCATTTTTGGCCTAGGAGGTCTCCCTGAACCCTCCTGGGAGTGAAAACGGTGCCGCCCCCTGCCCCCCATTTTGGGCCTAGGAGGCCTCCCTGCACTTACCTGGGAGCCAAAATGGGACACGTATGGACTCCTGGAAGGGGTGGGGCAGGAAGGGGTGGGGCCAGCCAGCAATTTAACTACCGGTTCGCCCGAACCGGCCTGAACCGGCTGAATCCCACTACTGCCTCTCTGTCCAGAATGTGGACTTTGCTGTCTTCAAAAGAGGGCATAGATCGACCTTCAAGCGACCTCAATGACTCTCAAAGAGAGTACTAATGACCAGATGACTGTAAGCAATATAAATCCTTCCATTCTCCACCATTCAGTCAGAACTGAAGAAGCGAAATGTCTTCAAGGAAAAAATAAAAGAGTCTTAGTTTTTGCCTTTTGAAAAAGCACCTTTGGGACACATGACTTGGGTGACTGGGAATCTCCACAGTTTTTCCAACATTTTCTAAAGCCGGTTTACCTTCTTTCCTTTCCCTGACAGGAGGACGGCCGAATACATTATTTGCAACACCACAGCTTTTGGAAACGTCTTGGAGAAGAACATGGTGGACGTAACCGTGAAGGTAGACAAGGCCACGCTGCGCAAGGAGCTGGAGAAGGCTAAAATGCACAAGGAGCTCAAGTTTAAATACGTGGAGGATCCAACCATTTTGAGAATCGAACCCGAGTGGAGCATTGTCAGGTAACGAGGACATGAGGAAGGATGGTCCTTAAAGGGGCCCTGTCTCACGGTGGGGGGCGATTGAGAAATATTTCAAGAAAAGAAGGTAGGGAAAGGTGAAGGTTGACTCAGCCTTCCATCCTTCCGAGGTGGGTAAAATGAGGACCCAGATTGTTGGGGGCAATATGCTATTTAGTATACTGTCTTTGGTGTAAGCCGCCCAGAGTCCTCGGAGAGTGGGTGGCATAGAAATATGACAAACAAACAAACAAACAAACAAACAAACAAACAAACAAGGTGAAGGAAGCTAACCAGGTTGTGAGTGTGTATTTATCCCATTTATTCCAGATCATAGCAATAGACTTATATACCGCTTCACAGTGCTTTACAGCCCTCTCTAAGCGATTTACAGAGTCAGCCTATGGCCCCCAACAATTTGAGTCCACATTTTACCCACCTCGGAAGGATGGAAGGCTGAGTCAACCTTAAGATCATCATGAATTCCAGATGAAAGCTTTTCACCCCAATGACATTAGTTTCATTTGTTAGGAATGGTGGCCCAGAGGAAGGCCCTCTCCGAAGCCAAAGTCAGCCCCTTGCTTAGGGTTTCTCAACTTTGGTGACTTTAAGACGGGTGGACTTCAACTCTCAGAATTCCCCAGCCAGCACCTTCTTTCCATCACTTCCTTCTCGTCCACCTCCACCTCCTCTTTCACCTCCTTTCTTCTTTTCTTTCACCTCCTTTCTCCTTTTCTTCCATCTCTTTCATCTCCTTCTCCTTCACTCCTTCTCCTCCTTCCCATCCCCCTCCACCTCCTTCTTCTCCTTCTCCTTTCTCCTCCTTTCTTTCTCTTCTATTTCTCCTCCTCTTCCTTCTCCTCCATCTCCCTCATCTCCTTCTCCACTTCTAGCTCCTCCTTTACCTCCTTCACCTCCTTTTCCTCCTTCTCCTTCACCTCCTTCTCCTTTTCGGTCTTCTCCTTCTCCTTCTCTTCCTCCTCCTCCATATTGTCCATTTGGTCTTCACAATTTTCATGGCAACGTTTTCAGAAACACCTCTTTCTTAGCGGTTGAGAGAGAAGGACTGGTGCATTATCACTCAACTGGTTTCGGGCTTAAGCCAGGACCAGAACTCACGACCTCCCAGTTTCTAGCCTTGTTGCTTTCACTAGTTCACCAAACTCTTTTAATTCCAAGTTAGTAGATTCACACCAGCGCTGGGTTTCACATTTCGTTACCACCAGTTCGCCGGGCGCGCATGCCAGTGGTGGGTTGCTCCCGGTTCAGTCCGGTTCTACAGAACCGATAGTAAAATCGGCAAGAGGCTCTACCCACCTGCGACGACATCATCATGGGTGATCTGCGCGCGTGCTCCCGCTGCGAACCGGTAGTAAAGGTAAGTGGAACCCGTCCCTGGCGCATCCGCCTGGCCTTCCACACATGCGCCCGGCCTCAAAAACATACCTAAATAGGACGGCATAGAGCCGGGTTGGCCCACCTGTGATTTCCGCTACCGGTTCGAGCGAACTAGTCTGAACCAGCTGAATCCCACCTCTGATTCACACACCAGCCAGTGACAGGAACTTCAACATAAAAGAGCCTTGGTAGTACAGTGGTCTAAAGCACCCTGTTATTAAGACCAGCTACCTGCAATTACTGCAGGTTCGAATCTCGCCAGGCTCAAGGTCGACTCAGCCTTCCATCCTTTCTAAGGTAGGTGAAATGAGGACCCAGTTTGTGGGGGCAATAAGCTGACTTTGTATAAATATACAAAAGGATGAAGGCTATTGCTTAGCGCATTGTAAGCCGCCCTGAGTCTCCGGAGAAGGGCGGCATATAAAATCAAATTGAAAAACAACAACAACAATCATATCTGCCCAGTTCTAGGAAGTTGGAATAGAAACTCACCCTGTCCTCAGAGGACACATGAACCGAAAAGTATTTTTTCTCCCCACCGCCCCCAACCCATGATATTTTTACAGGTGCTGATTCCCCAGGTCTGTTCGGTCTCATTATTGTATTAATTTGCATTTAAAAAGGGCTTCCAGTTTTTTTATAGGCAGGTTTGATCCAATTTGGTTTCAAAGTACACATTTTAAAACAGCGTCTTGAGAGGGTTTGAGTTGAGGTGTGAAATTCCGAGAAGAGATATGTTCCAGCCCTTGCATGCATTAGTTTAAAAAAAAAAAAAAACGTACAAGGAGCATTCTGTAAGTAGAAACAGCTTTTAAAAACTGCATACATTAGGAAAATGTGCATAAAAATGCAGATGACTTGAGAGAGGGGGGTGTTTAAAGAAAGTGATACAGGATTGAGTGAAGGTAAGATGAGGAGAAAAATAAGAGATGGAGATAAACTGAAATTCACACATTTTTCTACGCCTAATTATATCTCAGAGTTAAAAAAGAAAAATCTTCATTCCCCCTAGTTTAACAGATTTGAGGGATACATTTATTTCAAAAAAAAAATCTATCTAAAGGAGCTTTCAGCTGTTAAGAGGACAGATTGTGGTGATTATAGCGGAATAAATTCAAGTCTGTAGTCTATTTATGTTTTTTTCAGTTAAAAAAAAAACAAGAGTATTTTTTTTCCTTAGAGAGCAATTGCTCTTGAAAGACAGGATTGCTCCGAATTTTCCAATTTGGTAAAAGTCTTCCAGCTTTCAGCAAACCCATTGCTGCATTTATTTTTCCATCAATTAAAAGTTTTGCAGACTTCAGCAAACCCCAAACATCCTTTTATTATCATGGTCTCTTCTTTATCGGGGGGGCTCTAACCAGTTTCACTTTTTTTAGCTGTTCTTTGCAACATCCTGACTTTACAGGTAGTCCTTGAGTTACGACCACAGTGGAGCCCAAAATTTCTGTCGTCAAGTGAGACATTTCTTAAGTGCGTTCGGCCCCATTTTACAACCTTTTTTTGCCTCAGACGTTAAGTGAATCACTTCAGGGGATGTTAGTTAACCTGGTTGTTAAGTGAATCTGGCTTCCCCATTGATTTTACTCATCGGAAGAAGCTAGAATAGAATAACAGAGTTGGAAGGGACCTTGGAGGTCTTCTAGTCCAACCCCCTGCTTAGGCAGGAAACCCTACACCACTTCAGACAAATGGTTATCCAACATCTTCTTAAAAACTTCCAAGATCACACGACCCCAAGGCACAGCAACTGTCGTACATACATGCCAGTTGCCAAGTGTCCAAATTTTGATCATGTGACATTACTGCAACTGGTTGTAAGAGTGAAAAACGGTCGCAAGTCACTTTTTTCAGGGCTGTTGTAACTTTGAACGGTTGCTGAATGAATGGTTGTAATTTGAGGACTTACTTGTATTGGGCTGCATCATTTCTTACCGAGAAATTCAATCAACCCATTAAAATTCAAGAGCATTAACTTTCCTCTAAACGAGTGTTTTCCAGCTTTGTCAGTTTTAGAATAGATGGACTTCAACTCCCAGACTCCACAGCCAGCTGGGGGATTCTGGGAGTTGAAGTCCACCCATCTTAAAGTTGCTGAGGTGGAGAAACACTGCTCTAAACAAACATTCATAGCTGGGGACTCAAGTGCTAAGTGTTTTCACCCCAGCTTTTTTAGCCAATTGGGCTGTAACCACACCCACCCAATTCCCCAACCATTCTATATCTGAGCCCCCCCTGTTTCAATTCTGTCAGACACAGAATCAGACAATTCAGTAGGATTCAAATCTTCTATATATATATATAATAACACATAAGCAAATATGCAATATCCATGCTGATTTTTCCAACGTGGTAGAGAGACGCTGAGCTTGTCGATTGAAAGGTCGGCAGTTCGGCAGTTCGAATCCCTAGTACCGCGTAACGGAGTGAGCTCCCATTACTTGTCCCAGCTTCTGCCAACCTAGCAGTTTGAAAGCAGGTAAAAAATGCAAGTAGAAAAAATAGGGATCACCTTTGATGGGAAGGGAACAACGTTCCGTGTGGTTTTGGCGTTTAGTCATGCTGACCACATGACCACGGAGACATCTTCGGACAGTGCTGGCTCTTCAGCTTTGAAACGGAGATGAGCACCGCCCTCTAGAGTCAGGAAAGACTAGCACATATGTGCGAGGGGAACCTTTACCTTTACCTTTTTAGAGAGAAGAGACTAAATAGGTACAAACCCAGGTTGGAGATAGCAGAAACAAGACTTCTCCTATATACAGAACAGTTGAGCTAAGCCACGCCCAGGCTCCTAGCTGTCTGAACCATCAAACAGCCTCCATTGGCTCACCTTGTTGCTATGCCTATTCCAACTCATGAACTCTTATACACTGACAAATTCCAGGCAGCTAGCATGTAGGGACTGGGTTTCTTCTGCTGGGCTGACTTCCTGGGCTCTTGTCCTGGACTTTGCCTGATGGTCAAATTTGTGTGTGTGCAAATGAAGCAATGCAACAAATGAAACTCTTCTGGCCAGTGGCTCCCAACCAGTCAACGTATGTGGTCTACTTTCAGTGCAGTGTACACTCATAGGTCAAACTGAGAATGAATGAATGAATGAACGAATGAATGGATGAGTCACTCAGTCAGTCAATCAATCAAGTCAACGACCAATCAATTAACAAATCTATGAATGAATGGCTGACTGAATCAATGAATCTTTGAATGACTCAGTCGTCAATCAAGCAGTCAATGAATCTATGAATGAATGACTGAATGAATCTATGAATCTATGCATGAATCTATGAATGACTGAATGAACAATCAATCCATGAATCCATGAATGAATAATCAATCAGTGAATCTATGAATCAATCAATCAAGCCAATCAGCGAATCAGTCAATGAATCTATGAATGAATGAATCTATGCACGAATCTATGAATGAATAATCAATGACCTTGAATGAATCAATCATGTCAATCAATCAATCTATAAATGAATGACTGAATGACGATGAATCTATGCATGAATCTATGAATGAAGGAATGAATCAACAGTACTATTAGTGTTTGGAAGTTATTGAATTAACTCTACTTGAGGAAACCAATGGATGAGGCTTAGAATGGACTGATTTTCGGTGGCTGTTCAAAATTTCATTTTTTATTTTGTCTCATTGAAAGACACAGATGGATTCGCCCTCTGAATTTGACATTGCTAGCTTCACCTTGAGAAACATCCACGGAAGTGGGTTGCAAGGTTCCTGCTAATTTTGTCTTTCTTCTTCTTCTTCTTCTTCTTATTTATCCATCAGTGGAAATACACCTGTTACAGTTTGGGGCACCAACCTGGATCTCATCCAGAACCCTCAGATCCGGGCCAAGTACGGTGGGAAAGAACACATCAATGTGAGTTGATTTAGTTGAAAAATAGGATACTCAAAGGCCGAACATGGGAAACGTAGGAGGTTGATTGTCCCCCATCCCCTCGAATGAGATCAGCGCTATCTCTGTTATCCTTCCGGAAGTCCCTTAAGACATATGGAAACTTATCAAGGGAAGATCTAACCTAGATTCCCCTAATAGTGAGAATGGCTTGTCTCCCACACTGGAGGTCTTCAAGAACAGCCATTCATCCAGAATATTATAGAGTCTCCTACTTGAGCAGAGGAGGGGGTGGACTAGAAGACCTCCAAGGTCCTTTTGCAGCCTTGCTATCCTGTTAAGACCTGGTCATGTCACCAGGCCTGAGAATCTCAGAGAGCCATGGATATTCCTAGATGGTTCCATTGTAGGTGATCTTTGACACTGTCTCTGTGTTGTTTGAATTCTGACTTACTCCAAAGAAGACCAGGTCTTCACTTATAGCCCAAAGTCTGTAGAGATCCTCAGTCATTATCCAGGTCCTGGTTGTCCCAAAGGTGCTTTTTTCAGGAGGCAACTGGACTTTCTGTTTGTTTTTTTTGAAGACGTTTCGCTTCTCATCCAAGAAGCTTCTTCTGCTCTGGCTGGATGGTGGGGAATGGAAAGATTGATATTCCTTGCAGACAGCTGGTCATTTGCATCCTTTTAAGAGGGTCATTGAGGCGACTTGAGGGGTTTATCTGTGTCCTCTGGGTGTCCCTGTGTCCTTAAGCTTCCTTCTGAATATTTGTGCCGATCTGGGAATGGATTCCCCCCCTCTTTGCAGTGCCTGTTGTAGACACGGGTGCAAATGCATTCCTCTTTTCTAACATTGGATGACAGGAAGAACGGGATTGCTCCTCAACCTTCCTTTCTTCCTTGCTCTCCGTTTCAGGTCTGCGAAGTTCAGAACGAGACGGAAATGGTCTGCCAGGCTCCGGCATTGATGGTGGAGCCTAGTAACACGTCTGATCTGGCCGAACGGCCGGATGAATTCGGCTTTGTCTTGGACAACGTCTTCTCCTTGCTGATCCTCAACAAGACCAACTTCACCTACTACCCAAACCCTGTCTTTGAGGCCTTCAGTCCCCCCGGGATTTTGGAACTGAAACCTGGAACCCCTCTGATCTTGAAGGTATGGGGGCAAAGATGATGCAATGGAGGTAGACCTCGGCTTACAACCACTGATAAGCAAGGCAGTTGTTAAGCGGTCGTGCCCCATTTTACGATCTTTTTTGGTTGTTAAGCAAAACACTGCAGTTGCAAGGTGGTCGTTAAGCAAATGGATCAATTGGTTTATTATTGTTTAATTGGTTAAATTTATATGCTGCCAATCATCACCATCCGCCCGTGTGATTTCTCTTGGCCTAGGGGAAGAATTTAACCCCACCGGTGGCGGGAGGAAACGCTAAGCTGAATTACACCGTGCTGATTGGGGAGAAACCCTGCGTGGTTACGGTCTCCGATGTCCAGCTGTTGTGCGAATCCCCAAATCTTACAGGACGGCATAAAGTCACGGTAAGGAATACTGGCGGCGTGTCGCAGGACAAAGGTGATTTATTTATCTGGAAAAGAAAAAAAAAATCAATTGTGCCTTGAAACCTGGAGAGCGATATCCTCATGCAAAGAGAACAAATCAACAAATCCTCTTTTTTTTTTTGCATAATTTATTGCTCTTCACTTATTCCTGTGTGGCTAGTAAAGGGAAGAGCCTCACTTTTAATATCAGCTTTAAAAGCCTTAATATTTTAGCTCCTCAAATTTCAACTGGGAGGCTCCTGTGTTCTTTCCATCACCCCTTGAATCATGAGATCTAGTGACTTTGTCTTTCAAAAGAAGTAGAGAATGCGAGGAGTAGGTCTTGAGCTTAGCAAGTGAGATTAGTGCGGTGTTTCTCAAACTTGGTCCCTTTAAGAGGTGTGGATGTCATCTCCTGGGATTCCCCAGCCAGCATGATCTATGAGGACTAGTGTCTTCGTCTTTCTCAATTTTTATTTTATTCAGAAGATTAAACTGCAAAGTCCCAAAGAAAAAAATTAGCAGAGCATGGACCTTGAGGACTAGTAACTTTGTCTTTTCACAAGGAGAAAAGAATGTAGAGGTGGGACTTGAGTTTAGCAAGTGAGACTAGTGCAGTGTTTCTCAAACTTGACGCCTTTAAGAGGCATGGACTTCAACTCCCAGGATTCCCCAGCCAGCATGAACCATGAGGACTAGTGTCTTCGTCTTTCTCAATTTTTATTTTATTCAGAAAATTAAACTGCAAAGTCCCAAAGAAAAAAATTAGCAGAGACCAAACAAAACTCAACAAAAAAAAACAAAAACAAAAATGTGAATTAAAAAGAGCAAAAGAGAAAAGCACTTTTTCGTCTAGGGTTTTTGTGTGTGTGTGTGTGATTTCATCTTTCACGAGGAAAAGACCATGAGGTCTAGTGACTTCATCTTTCACCAGGAGAAGTAAATGCTAGAAGTGGGTCTTGAGCTTAGAAAGTTAGATTACTGCAGTCTTTCTCATCAATCTTGGCCCCTTTAAGAGGCATGGGACTTCAACTCCCAGGATTCCCCAGCCAGCACGGATCATGAGATCAAGTGATTTGCTGGCTAGGGAATTCTGGGAGTTGAAGTCCCACGCCTCTTAAAGGGGCCAAGGTTGACTTAGTCCCTCGCTCTCTCCACAGGCTCGTGTTGGAGGCATGGAGTTCTCTCCGGGCATGGTCAACATCTCCTCCGACAGCCCGCTCAGCCTGCCTGCCATCGTCGGCATCGCCGTGGCGCGGCGGCTTGCTCATCATCTTCATCGTGGCCGTCCTGATCGCCTACAAGCGGAAGTCTCGGGAAAGTGATCTCACACTGAAGAGGCTACAGATGCAGATGGACAATCTGGAGTCCAGGGTGGCTTTGGAGTGCAAGGAAGGTACTACAAGCCAAAGGGATTACCGAGCAGGGGTGAAATGCTCCCGGTTCGGACCGGATCGCCCGATCCGGCAGCGATGGCGGCGGGTGATTCGGAGAACCGGTAGGAAAAATTCCTGCCCCCCGCCCATGCCCAGCTGAGCCGCGAGATCATCAGAGGCTTTTTTAAAAAACTTTTAAAAGCATTTTTTCTACAACCTCTTCGGCCGAAAAAAATGCTTTTAAACATAAAAAAGCCTCTGACGATCAGGCAACTCAGCTGGGATCGTCAGAGGCTTTTAAAAGCATTTTTTCTTGGTTGTAGAAAAATGCTTTTAAAAGTTAAAATAAAAAAAAAAAGTTGGCCACACCCACCCAGTTACATTAACCCCACCAAGCCACGCCCACAGAACCGGTAGTAACAAATTTTACATTTCACCACTGTTACCAAGGCTTTTGGACGAATTGCTGACGGCCCTGCGAGGTAGTCCAGATAGGAAGCACACCTAGTTGAACTAATTCTACTCTATTGTAAGGTGACGTTAACGGAATCTTGCAAGTCTGAAAGGATATTTTCTTCCCCCTCCGCCTGTACAGCTTAAGATACTAGAGAGGGTCCCTTCTAAGATATTCAGCACACCGTTTTCCTTCCTTCATGTTGCAATATTTTCAGGATCAGACTCAATAAAGATAATAGGAGTTAGAGCTTTAAATATATTTCTTTTTAATTATGATAGGCATTCTATATTCACTGAATATTCAAGGTAGAAGCAACGAGAATGGTGAGGGTGGCTCCTTATATATACAAGGGGTGGAGCTAGGAATGGGAGTGGTAAGTTATGAATACATTAAAGTCCAAAGAATAAGTTAACCTCTGATGTTCCATATATACATTATTTACACATTGGAGAATAAGGCATTTACATCTGACAAATCCCCCTCTAAATGCCGGTTCGTTACACAACACCAATTACATTCTGATTCAGGACAATATAATACATATAATTTAGAAGTTAAATATTTGTGTTGTTTAGAAGGTAAGGGTTTTGTTAATATGTCAGCTAATTGTTCAGAAGTATCGCAATGTATTGCTTTAATGAATCCGTCTTGAGACAGTTGTCTCACATGCTTAAACTTTATATCAATATGCCTGGACCTTTGTCCAATTGCATCGGATCTGGATATTTCAATGGCCGCTTTATTGTCTTCATGCATAATAAATGGTAAGGTGGGTTTCCTCCAAACATCAGTGATCAGATCATTGAACCATACAAGGTTATTTGCAGCCTTGGACAAACAAACATATTCCGCTTCTGTAGTAGAAGTGGCTACTAGTTCTTGTTTACCAGTATACCAGTAAACTGGACAATCATTCAATAGAAAAACATAACCAGAAGTACTCTTTCTGCATGATGTATCACCAGCCCAATCTGCATCAGCATAACAAGTAATTTTTGGTTCTCTGTCATTATTGGGTTCCAACATTAAACAAAAATCTAATGTACCCTTCAGATATCTTAGAATTCTTTTGACAGCTTCCCAATGATACAAGGTTGGTTTACTAACATATCTTGACAATAGATTGAGAGGTAATGCAATATCTGGCCTAGTCCAATTAGATATATAAAGGAGTGAACCTATAACTGATCTGTAAAATGTGTTGTCTTTAAACTCAGGGGAAGATTCATCAGTGTTTCTAAGAAAATCAGTTTGCATAGGGGTGTCACAGGTTTAGCATTATTTAAGTTACATTTGTTTAGGAGTTCGATGATTTTATCTTTCTGTGTAAGTTTGAATCCCCTTTTAGTTTTGTTAATTTGCACACCAAGGTATTTATTCACTTTACCCAGAGATTTCAGTGAGAAGTGTTCATTTAACTTATTTACAAAGATTTCCCTGCTCTCTTTATGCTTTCCAATGTATAAAATATCGTCCACGTAAATTAATACAAATTCAATATGATCATTACTCTTTTTTACAAAGAAACAGTTATCAGCAGTGGGGCGTTGAAATCCATGGTCTTAAGTACTTTTACCAAGCAATCGTACCATCTTTTGCCGGATTGCTTTAATCCGTACAGACTCTTATTTAATAACCAAATTTCGTTCTTATTAGTGTATTGACTGTGTGGTGCTCTTACATATATTTCCTTATCTAATTTTGCATGTAAGTATGCGGTCTGTATGTCATATTGGAATACGTCCAGATTGAGTGCAGATGCTACTACAAGGGCTGTTTTGACACTCTCTGTTCTCACTGTGGGTGAATATGTATCAGTATAGTCTTCTGGATATTTTTGTGCATAGCCTTGTGCAACTAGTCTAGCCTTGTATAAGGTATTGCCTCCTTCTAAGTTCTTAATTTTATAAATCCACCTGGTACCTATAATTGTTTTATCCTTAGGTGCGATCGCAGTGTGAATACATTTAATCTTTGTAAACTTTCCATCTCTTTTTCCATAGCTAGTTCCCATTTTTCTCTTTTCTTCATGTGGAAGTTTCAATACTTCTTCATATGTATTAGGTGTTATTTGTTCTCCATTCATATGCATTATGTAATCTTTGTATTTATTTGGTATTTGGTTTCTATTGTTTCTAATAGTTCTTTCAGGCTTGCTATGGTTATCATGCAAATATCTAGCTTCCTTTTTTGTTAATGTGTCTGTCTTTATTTTATGCTGACTATTAGTCCAAGTTTTGGTTTTGTTCTTACTTTTGTTAATATTTGATTTTCTGTTGTTCCTTCCTCGCAAGATATCGTATCTTTACATTTATTAGGAAATATTTCATTAAGGTGCAATTTTGACCAATTGGCCTGTTCATGGAACACAGCTGTTCTGATACTATAAATTTGTTATTACTATCAATAAATCTGTACCCTTTGGTTCCAGTTTCGTATCCCATGAATCTTAATCTCCTGGATACGTTTTTCTCCCTTTCTCCTCAATTGTTTAGGTATGTGTACGTCTGCAGTGACTCCAAATATGTGCATGTGTGATAATTTGGGTTTTCTATTGTACATCACCTCATATGGTGTCTTATTCACAATACTGGACCAGGTTCTATTTTGAGTGTAATTCGAATAATGTAATGCCTCTGACCAAAATTGTTTGCCTAAACCAGCATCCTCTAATGTGCACCTAATCATGGTTTGTAGTGTGGAATTTTTCCTCTCTGCAACTCCATTTTGAAATGCAGAAAAAGGATTGGACGTGAAATGTAACATTCCTCTATCCTTTAACCATTGGGAGAATTCTTTAGACATGAACTCACATCCCCTATCTGTCATAATTTGCTTTATTCTGATATTATGTTGTGTTTCTATACGTTTGTAGAATTCCTTAAATTTCTGAAATGTTTCATCCTTGTGCTTTAATGTGTAAACAAAACCATATCGGCTGTAGTCATCCACTATTGTTAGGAAGTAACGTTTTCTATAGGTAATTGAGGGACTTAATGGACCAACTAAGTCCATATGTACCAAATCAAAAATATTGTTAGTTGATCTGTTAGATTTTTTTGGTCTGGGACTGGTTTTTAGTTTGGTGGACTTACATACTGAGCATTCCAAATAATTTTCACAATTTTTTATTTTGACACCTTCTGCGTGTTCAGTCATTTTTTGTACTACAGGAAAGCTTGCATGTCCTAACTTCCTGTGTAAGATGTGAGCACACTCATCATGAATTGGTTTACCTATTTTTGGTTTCTTTTCCTTGTATGTATTTTTGTGATCATGAGTTATTCTACACTCATCATTGTCACTGTTACTGACATTTTCATCATCTGCTTCAATACAATCTTCCATATTTGAATCAATGTTATGTAAACATCTTTCTTTAGTTATCAGATAGGGTAGACCTCCTTTTATCATTACAGTACCTACATTTGTTTTGTTCTTTTCTATAGTTGCTTTCCCCTTTGAGAAAACTATATTGATATCAGATTCTCTGCTTAATTTTATGGCACTTAGTATGTTGTGAGGTATTTCTGGGATTAATAATACCCCCTCTATTTTCCCTAGACCAGGCAAGGTCACATTTCCTTTGCCTAGTACTTGAACCTTTTCTTGATTAGCTACCTTTATCACAAACTTATCTTCTATAAATGAAGATAATATACTTTTGTTGTTGGTGGTGTGATTTGTTGCACCAGAATCAATAAGCCAATTGTTATTCTCATCCTGCTGTGTTCTGGTGCTGTCTTGTTTATTTAGCCCATTCAGTGACCCAGATTTCCTCTCTTTTGAATTTTCTCTACCCCTTCTACCTTCTTTGTAATTTGGTGGACTTCTATATTTGTGTCTATCTGTGGAAGATTGTCTGTAATTATATTTGCTCCTATATTCTGGTCTATGTCTCTCTCTTGAGACTTTGGGGCAGTCTCTTCTACTATGTTCCCTGGATCCACAATTGTAGCATCTAAAGGCCTCATTATGTTTATCTTGAAAGACTACTTTCCTAAAAGGTTTGTGGTCTGTTTGGTTACTGGATCGATTTTTTCTTGAATTGTCTTCTGCTATCAATTTGTTAGATAGACTTTCTATGGATAAATATCCCAAATTAATGGTATCTAAGTGTGACATAAAGCTATCCCATGATGGATCAAGTGAATTGATAATAACACTTTTCATTGTTTGATCTGAAATCACTTCCCCCCTCAATTGTAGCTCAGCTCTTATTTTGTTTAGATTTATCAAATGCTCACTTATAGAAACCCCTGGTTTTACTCTAGAGGAAAAGAAATCCTTAGACATTCTTGTGGTTGTAGCTACGCTATCGCTGTGAAATAGATTAAACATGCATTGAATTATTTCTGATACAGTTAGGTTTGGTTTGATGCTATGATACATTGCAGGAGACACGCTAGATATTATTATGAAAAATGCTCTATGATGTAAACAATCTATTTTTAAAGTCCAAGGTCTTCTTGGAGGGCTAGTTATAAAGAATAGTAAATTTTCTTTCATGAAAATAACCTGAAGCTGTTGATACCACTCTTGTAAATTAATGCCATCAATTCTAAGTTTTGGGAAGTCACTGGGTAAGTTACCTACATTATTCTGTCCATTACTTACAACCTGGGGCAGTCCGTGATCTCTCAAGTGCAGGAAATTACAGAACGGCATTGGGATGCTTGCAATGAGTCTGCGCGGTTCTCTGGCCAGTTCAAGTCCTTCTGGGTCGTCTACGTAGTTTCGCACATGCGCGTTGCTCATTTCTTCTTTGGTGGCGTCGTGGAAGGTTCTCTCCCTTTCAGCTCTCTCGATCCGCTCCTCCTCAGATGAGTCGGTCTCTGGCTCGGTTTTTGGGGTTCTGGTGGTGGCGACGGTTCTTTTCTTCTTTTTGTGTGCGTTGGTATTCGATTTTGTCTGTGGTGTAGGGCGAAATCGGCATGGCTCTCTGGGCTCGGGCGTCGTCGCTTTCGAAGTCAGGATGGGAGCGTGCAGGTCTTGAGTCGCCGTTTTGATTTCTTGCTTCTTCGTAGATGTCTTGGTAATTTTCAGTCTTGGCCCAAAAGCAGCAAAAAGCGTTTTCATTGCTGATTTTACTTGAGATTTTGTTAAATCGTCTTCACTTTCTGATTTTGGATCATCTGAAGAGTTTGAGACTTCTTTCTCACTTTCTTCGTCTGATAGTGTTTTTCGCGCCAGAAATTTTGAACTGAGCGTTTTGATTGGCTCTGCTCCATTCTCTTTTGAAGTTCGTTGAAACCAAGATGGCTGCCATTCAAAATTTCGCGCGGGATCACATCTTTTCTTTTTAACAACTATTTTCTCAGTAGTCATCTCACTTACGGTTTTTTGATCTTTGGGTTTTTCTTTAATGACGTTTTTCTCTCTCGCTGCTCCGCTGTTCTTCAGCATCTCCTGGAGGTCCGCGATGAGACTTTCATCATTCTTTTGGCTTTTTAGTATCTTTAATATCTCTGACCTGAGTTCGTTATTTTCTATTTCGATTTCTTTCTGGTCATTATTTTCACTCATTAGTTCTTCTTCTTCAGTGGTGTATTCTTCGGATTCTCTCGAAATCGCATTGGTGGATTCGTTGATCATCTCTTGATCAGTTTCTATTTCTTTGCTGTAGGCCCTGGTGTTGGGCCTATCTTTCTTGGACATTTTTAATTACTTATTGAGTCAATTAACCATCCTCTGCTACCAGCTTGTTGCAATATTTTCAGGATCAGACTCAATAAAGATAATAGGAGTTAGAGCTTTAAATATATTTCTTTTTAATTATGATAGGCATTCTATATTCACTGAATATTCAAGGTAGAAGCAACGAGAATGGTGAGGGTGGCTCCTTATATATACAAGGGGTGGAGCTAGGAATGGGAGTGGTAAGTTATGAATACATTAAAGTCCAAAGAATAAGTTAACCTCTGATGTTCCATATATACATTATTTACACATTGGAGAATAAGGCATTTACATCTGACACTTCATCTCCCTCTTACAGGTAGTCCTTGACTGACAACAGCTCACTTAGTGACCATTCAAAGTTACAATGAGAAAAGGAACTTAATTCTATATCGTTTTAACAGGAATTATGCATTTTACTGTTGTGAGCTGCCCTGAGTCCTCGGAGATTGGGCGGCATATAAATTGCATAAAATAAATAAATAAAAAAATAAATAAAACTTTATGACCCCTTTTCACACTTATGACCATTGCAGCATCCCCTGATGAAAATTCAGATGCTTGGCAACTGACCGGTATTTATGACAGTTGCAGTGTCCCGGGGTCATGTGATCCCGTTTTGTGACCTTCTGACAAGCAAAGTGAATGGAGAAGCCAAATTCACTTAACAACCGTCTTACTAATTTAATAACTGCAGTGATTCATTTAGCAACTGTGGCAAGAAAGATCGTGAAATGGGCCAAAATTCACTTAACAACTATCTCACTTTAGCAATGGACTCAGTCGTGGCCATAAGTAGAGGACTACCTGTATCGGTTGTTGCCTTGGCGTGGTCCTCATCCATTTTAAAAGGTCATCCCCCTATGCAATTGCTCATTTTGCATGTTGTCCTTGACTTACAACCGATTGCTTAGCAACTGGTCGAAATTACAACAGACCTTGAAAAAGGTATCCATGAATCAGATTGTGTTGTGATCCGCCGGCAGCCTGCAGAGCTAGCAGCAGAGTTGGACAGTGAGGAGGCTGGGGAGGAACATGGGCCAGTCCTGGAGTCTGGGGAGGGCTCGGACGAGGGCTCTGCATTGGAGGCAGAGATGGGGCCAGGGCCATCTGGGAGTTATGTGCTGACTCCGGAGCCTCCAGAGTCAGACATCAGAGAGGCAGAGGAACAGGGGGAGCCTGTTCCCAGTGCGTGCATGCGCAGAACTGCCAAAAGGCAAGAACAGTTAAAACAAAAGGGGCGACTTGGGAGTAAGGCTTGGAGATGATTGGGCTCTCCCATAAGACATACAGGAGGAGCAAAGGCACGTGAGCCTTTGCAGGAAGCAACTTTGTTCTGGTCAGTTTAAATTCTGAAGCTCTGTTTTGACTCTGTGCTCGGTGTGGCCTTGCAAAACTATTTGGCAATTAGGTCTTCGGCAGCGTTTCAAGGGAGATAAAGGTGGGTGTCGGACTCTTTACAAACTATTTGTGACTCATCACGGGCTGGGAATGAACTTAATTCACAGCTATTGAAATAAACCCCCACCCTCCCGTGGTCACATGACTGCATTTGGCGCTTGGCAACCAGCCCACATTTATGCTTGTTTGCCACACCCCATCGTCATGTGACTACAAGTTATGACATTTTTGCCCAAAAAACAGCATTTACCTTCAGTTCCTGCAAAAAATCGACCATAGTGAATATTAGCTTTGCTGAACAACTGCCTCATTTGCTAAATGGCCACCCTGTTCTGACAAGCAAAGTCAGTGGGAAGCCAGATTCGCTTAATGACTGCAGGATTCATTTAACAACTGCAATGACTTGCTTAGCAACTGTGGCAAAAAAAAAGGTTGTAAAATGAGGCAAAAACTGACTAAATAACTGCCTTGCTTAGCAATGGAGATTTTGAGCTCAGTTGTGTGCGTAAATTGAGGACTACCTGTATTGGTGGAAGGAATTTGTCTCTTACCATGGCATCGTATCCATCCCACGTCATCTCTATCATTAAGTACCTTATGATTCTTGATGAAAGTATCTTTTCTTTTTATGTACACTGAGAGCGTATGCACCAAGACAAATTGTGTGTCTAATCACACTTGGCCAATAAAGAATTCTGTTCTGTTCTGTTCTGTTCTGTTCTGTTCTGTTCTGTTACTCTACTCTACTCTACTCTACTCTCTACTCTACTCTACTCTACTCTACTCTACTCTATTCCTTCCTTCCTGAGAGCATATGCACCAAGACACATTCCTTGTTTGTCCAATCACACTTGGCCAATAAAGAATTTTATTCTGTTCTGTTCTGTTCTGTTCTGTTCTGTTCTGTTCTGTTCTACTCTACTCTACTCTACTCTACTCTACTCTACTCTACTCTACTCTACTCTACTCTACTCTACTCTACTCTACTCTACTCTACTCTACTCTATTCCTTCCTTCCTGAGAGCATATGCACCAAGACAAATTCCTTGTGTGTCCAATCACACTTGGCCAATAAAAAATTCTATTCTATTCTATCCCAAAAGTTATAAATTATAATTCCTGGGTCAAATATTCGTGTTTGTTTCTTAATACCATCTCTTGTCAATTATTGTTTAATTAAATATGGGAAATTCAGTCTCCAGAATAAGCCTATCATCCAACTGCAAATAGAAGTAGTTGCCATTTAGGTGCAATAAATCCATCCAGTCTTTGTCGAAGAAATTTGTCAAGGTCTACCTGTATTCTGCCTTGAATGGTTCATTCTTCCTTTTAAAAAAAAAAACTCCGCTCCCTTCCCCCCAATCACAGCTTTTGCAGAACTCCAGACGGATATCCATGAGCTGACAAGTGACTTGGATGGGGCAGGAATACCGTTTCTGGATTACCGGACGTATACCATGAGGGTCCTTTTCCCTGGCATTGAAGACCATCCAGTATTAAGGGATCTGGAGGTAAGAATTTGGGATGGAAAAGAAAGTGATGCGTGGAAGGCCTTAAAAAACCAGCCAGCCAACCAATTAACTAACCAACCAAACAACTAACTAGAAAGGTTGGTAGATAAATAGATTTGTTTGGTTGATCTTTCACATTGACGTAAAAAAATATACTTATCCCATAGAACAGAATAACAGAGTTGGAAGGAACCTTGGAGGTCTTCTAGTCCAACCCCCTGCTTAGGCAGGAAACCCTACACCACTTCAGACAAATGGTTATCCAACCTCTTCTTAAAAACTTCCAGTTTTGGAGCATTTACAACTTCTGGAGGCAAGCTGTTCCACTGATTAATTGTTCCAACTGTCAGGAAATTTCTCCTTAGTTCTAGGTTGCTTCTGTCCTTGATTAGTTTCCATCCATTGTTTCTTGTCCTGCCTTCAAGGGCTTTGGAGAAGAGGTTGACCGCATGTTTTCTAGTGAACAACCGCTTAAACATGAGATAGCAGGGTGCTGCAGCTGCCAGAAAAACTAATGCAATCCTAGGCTGCATCAAGAGAGGGATAATAGCAAGGTCACATGAAGTGATAGTACAAGAAAAACCAAATGCACAAGTACAGTATAGGTGGTACCTTACACGATAGTAGTAACTGTGAGAGGGATCTTGGAGTCCTAGTGGACAACTCATTTAAATATGAGCCAGCAGCTGCCAATAAAGCCAACACAGTTCTGGGCTGCATAAACAGAGGGTTAGAATCAAGATCACGTGAAGTGTTCATACCACTTTATAAGGCCTTGGTAAGGCCACACTTGGAATCCTGCATTCAGTTTTGGTCTCCACGATGTAAAAAATATGTGGGGACTCTAGAAAGGGTGCAGAGAAGAGCAACGAAGATGATTAGGGGCCTGGAGGCTAAAACATACGAAGAACGGTTGCAGGAACTGGGTATGTCTAGTTTAATGAAAAGAAGGACCAGGGGAGGCATGATAGCAGTCTTCCAATATCTCAGGGGCTGCCACAAAGAAGAGGGAGTCAAGCTAGTCAAGCTACCAAGAGCCTTGGTGGCGCAGCAGACTAAAGTGCTGTTAAGTAGCACCAGCTGCCTGCAATTACTGCGAGTTCAAATCTTACCAGGCTCAAGGTTGACTCAGCCTTCCATCCTTTCGAGGTAGGTAAAATGAGGACCCGGATTGTGGGGGCAATAAGCTGACTTTGTATAAAAAAGAACACCGCTTAGTGGGGGCCAAAAGCCCTACTAAGCAGGTATATACAAAAGTATGAAGGCTATTGCTTAACACATTGTAAGCCGCCCTGAGTCTCCGGAGAAGGGCGGCATATAAATCAAACCAATAAATAAATAAATAGTCTCCAAAGCATCCGAGGGCAGGACAAGGAGTGATGGGTGGAAACTAATGAAGGAGAGAAGCCACCTAGAACTAAGGAGAAATTTCCTGACAGTGAGAACAATTAACCAGCGGAACAACTTGCCTCCAGAAGTTGTGGATGCTCCAACACTGGAGGTTTTTAAGAAGACTCATTTGTCTGGAATGATATACAGTCTCCTGCTTGATCAGGAGGTTGGTCTAGAAGACCTCCAAGGTCCCTTCCGACTCTGTTATTCTGGGTCCTTTCTGTTTTGGACAGGTTCCTGGTTACCGGCAAGACCGGGTGGAGAAGGGTCTCAAGTTTTTCGCCCAGCTCATCAACAACAAGGCCTTCCTTCTCTCCTTCATCCGCACCCTGGAGTCTCAACGCAGCTTCTCCATGAGAGACCGTGGCAACGTGGCCTCCCTCATTATGACTGTGCTGCAGAGCAAGCTAGAATATGCCACCGATGTCCTCAAGCAGCTCCTGGCCGACCTGATTGACAAGAACCTGGAGAGCAAAAACCACCCCAAGTTATTGCTTCGGAGGTAAGCCTGGCAGAGGGTCCCACTTCCCAGGGTTGGGTAGTCTTTCTGCAGCCCAGAGTCATCGTGGATGGTTCGGGAAAATAGCAGAATCCTGGATGAAAAATTCGAGGGCAGGACCAACATCTGAACTGACTGCCCTGATCATTGAAGCATAAATTCAAATCAAATTACTGAAAGGACGGTGTTAAGGATATTGTTGTTGTGTTACCAACCAGCAGAGTGTAGAGCACAGAGAAACGTTGCTGGGAGCAATGAATAAGAGATGTGCAAACTGGTTTATCAAAAGTTTACTTTATAGTAGAAAAACAGTTTCATAGTCTTTAAACAAATTCCAAGTCTTCGCCAGTTAAATCAGTCCAGTAGTTACAGATATCTTCTTACCAAACAAACATTAGTTGGTTAGAATAACAAACTCACTCTGGTTCACAAACCACGATGGTAGCAGATCCATCCATCGATGATAGCAGATAGCAACTCCTCACTATGGCAGCTTATCATATCAGCTCCATACACAATGGCAGCATATCATAGCAGCAACTGAACACGTTACAATACCTTGCTTAAATACTCTCACAACCAGTCATTACCTAATTACAGCATGACTCAGCATTACAATAAATCAACAAGAAAACTTTTAAAGTCACACAATACATATTCATATTAAAGTCACAGAACACATATATTGCCTGGACTACTTGTTGTCAAACCATATCCCAACAGACCGCATGCCTTGAAAAAGCTATTTCAATAGAAGAGAAGAGAGCTTTGTAGCTTAGAATTGAACGCTGGGGTCCTTGCTTAGTGCCCTCTGAGCTGGGTGGTTTTTTTGTAGAAGTTTCATGACCCAACTAGGGAACATCGTCATTGCTAGAGGGGAATTGGGGTTTGCGGACAGGAGGAGGAGGAGGAGGAGGAGGAGGAGGAGGAGGAGGAGGAGGAGGACGACGACGACGACTATGAGGTCCTTGGTGCTCTTTGAGCCTGGTGGTTTTCTTCCAGATGTTTCATGACCCAACTAGGAAACATCGTCAGTGCTAGAGGGGAATTGGGGTTTGCGGAGAGGAGGAGGAGGAGGACTATGAGGTCATTAGTGCTCTCTGATCTTGGTTACCTTCTTGCAGAATGTTAAATGACCATGTTGGCTAACATCATCACTGCTAGAAGGGAGGGGGTTTGTTTTCTGTTTATATACACTTGGCCTTTAAACCAGGGGTCCCCAACCTCTGGGCTGTGAAAATGGCCAGTGAGCATGCATGCGCGCACGAGCCTCCTTACTTACGCAAGCCGGGGGGGCGAGCACCTCCGCGCACGCTCCATTTGCATGAATAAGACTCCAAGGAGTATAAATCCTTCAATCAGAACTGAAGAAGCTTCTTGGTTGAGAAGTGAAACGTCTTCAAGGAAAAACCAAGAAAGTCCAGTTTTACCTCTTGGAAAAAGCACCTTTGGGGCAACCCAGACCTGAATGACCGAGAATTTCCATAGACGTTTGATATTGTGCTATTTTATTTTCTTTCCCTTCTTGTTGTGTTGCTGCGTTTATATTTTTATTTAGAGCAGTGGTTCTCAACCTGTGGGTCGGGACCCCTTTGGGGATCGAACAATCAGGGTCGCCTAAGACCATCGGAAAACACATATTTTCAATGGTCTTAGGAATAATTTTATGGTTGGGGGTCACCACAACATGAGGAACTATATTAAAGGGTTGTGGCATTAGGAAGGTTGAGACCCACTGATTTAGAGCTTGATATATATATATATATATATATTGTCAGGTTTTGAGGTCGTCTCAAATAAATTGCATTTCAAACAAAGTCTTTGAAGAAAACTCCCATTTATTAAGCACAACATTCTAAATGCGACTCCATCGTAGCCAACACTGACTTCCAGCCCCAGAACCCTCCCTTTCTGTTCCCCACTCCTCTGCACTCATTGGCCATCTTCCAAGTCACTCTACCCCTAATCTACTGCTCCAGCTCAAAGGAATTTCCCCCCTCCCATCCCATCTCCTAGGGGATATTATCTCCAGGGAAAATAAGTAGGTGAAAAGTCAAACGTCCCTTTCCAGACGCCTCCGTTTCTCCTTCTTATGTCAGCACTAGAGTAAATGCAGGTTGAAGTGCTGACATCTATATTGTGTGGGCTTCTGAGAATAGCTCTTTTGGTAGCATGCAAATAGGAGGAATCAATCGATCGACCGATCCCTCGATCACCCAGGGAAGATAACAGGAGGAAAATATTAGCAATTTAGCGTACTTTCCTTACCAGTTTGCAAATGTGAGCTTGCATGCCCGAGCTCACTTTGCTCGCACGCAGCCCCGTCCATGCTGAATCCCACCTCTGAATTTCCCCCCTCCCCTCTCTCATTCCGTTTCGTTCTAGGACCGAATCGGTGGCGGAGAAGATGCTTACCAACTGGTTCACCTTCCTTCTTTATAAATTCCTCAAGGTAAGGAGTGATGCTACTCTCTTTATTCCTTCAGAGACGGAATCTAACTAGAGGCGGTGGGAACTGTCCTTCTCTGATTTGCATTTATTTATTTATTTGTCCAATTTATATGCCACCCTTCTCCGTAGACTCAGGGCGGCTTACAATGCATTATAGCAATAGCCTGCATACTTTTATGTATATACCTGCTTATTAGGGCTTTCGGCCTGCCCAAGCGGTGTTGTTCTATACAAAGTCGGCTTATTGCCCCCACAATCTGGGTCCTCAATTTACCTACCTCGAAAGGATGGAAGGCTGAGTCAACCTTGAGCCTGGTGAGATTCGAACTCACACTAATTGCAGGCAGCTGGCAGCTAAGTGCTAGCACTTAACAGCACTTAGTCCGCTGTACCACCGAGGCTCATTACATGTTGGTTGTTTAGTATAACTGGTTTTTTTCCCCAACTTTAGGACCTCTAAAACTGGGGGAATTCTGGGAACTGAAGTCCACCTACCTTCCTAAAGTTTGGGAAACCTTGTTTAATGGTGTTTGATTTAGCAGGCGCATTATTTTAGACTTTCAGGCTTTCATTTCCAGTTTGGTCTAGTCTAGTGTGTTGCTGGCTGAGGAATTCTAGTTCCTCAGGGGGATTCTGGGAGTTGAGATCCATTTATCTTGAAGTTGCCAAGGTTGACGTAGTGCTGGAAGCAACAGGCTAGAAACCGGGAGACAGTGAGTTCTAGTCACATCATAGGCATGAAAGCCAACTGGGTGACTTGTGGCCCATCGCCAGGAGATGGAGGATTATAGTTCCGCCTTAGGCATGAAAGTTGGCTGGGTGACTTTGGACCAATCACCAGGAGACGGTGAGTTCTAGTCCCGCCTTAGGCATGAAAGCTGGCTGGGTGACTTTGGGCCAATCACCAGGAGACAGTGAGTTCTAGTCCCGCCTTAGGCATGAAAGCTGGCTGGGTGACTTTGGACCAATCACCAGGAGATGGTGAGTTCTAGTTCCACCATAGGCTTGAAATCTGGTTGGGTGATTTTGGACCAATCACCAGGAGACAGTGAGTTCTAGTCCTGCCTTAGGCATGAAAGCAGGCTGGGTGATTTTGGGCCAATCATTCTCTCTCAGCCCAACCCACTTCACAGCCTTGTTGTTGTTGGGAAAATAGGAGGAGGAGAATGAATGAATGAATGAATGAATGAATGAATGAATGAATGAATGAATGAATAAAATACTTAAATATTTAAATAAATGAATTTTTGGCATCAAAATTGCTTTTTAAAAACTCCTCTTTCCTCTGTGTTTAACACACAAACATCCTGCGGCAAAGTCAGAAAAAAAAAATCACTGAGCCCTCTTTTTGTGACCCACATAAGAATGGGGTGAAGCTGCCGTCGTCATATTTTTTTTTGACTCTGCTTGGTTGCTTCTGATTTGATATCAAACCTAGATTTGTATCCAAATCTAGGGCAGGATATTTGGCCCGCATGCCCAAAAAACTGAATTTAAACATCTTAAGAAGAGATTGGATAGCCATTCGTCTGCTAATGCTTAGGATCTCCTGCTTGAGCTGGACTAGAAGACCTCCGAGGTCCCTTCCGACTCTGTGATTCTGTATCTGTTGACTTTATTCTGGGTTTACAGATAATTTTAACAGCACTTCAAGCATGTTCAGAGAGTCTCCAGAAAAAAACCTTCCAAAGGCTAATAAAAGGCCTTAAACACTTAGGAGAATAATGTTAATAAATCAAAGTTACACAGAGATTCTTTGCTAATGAATTACGTTGCAATTTGTGTGCTGCTAAAAATCGCAGGATGGGCTTCTCGAGATTTTTTACGAGTGTGAGGAAATTGACATTTTTCCCCCCACATTTATTTTTCATCACCTTCAATTTCCACCCTGATTTATTACCAGCGTGTCCAAAAAAAAAAAAAAAAAAAATTTCAGCGCATCCCATCAAAATTTAAAACTCAGGTAAAGCCTATCGTATTTCTTCCGCGCAATTAGACAGATCCATATAAATATAGGCTGGTGATGAATCATAATTTTATAGACTCGCAAGTTCAGGTCCCCAAACGTGTATGAGATTTCTTGTTCTCTGAGGCCTTTATTTTTTTTTTATTTATTTGTGTTTTTGAATTTCGGATTGGATTGACGATGGATGGAGGATTGGTTCTGCAGAACATATCGTTCACCATTGGGAAGATTGATCCCACTTACTCCCACATGTGGATATATACAGAGCCTTTTTTTCTGCAGGACACAAACAGGCATACGCGAAGTTTAACAGTAAGGGTCCTTGGAGGTCATCTAGTCCAACCCCCTGCTCACACAGGAAACCTATACTAGGGATTCGAACCGCCGACCTTTCTGATCCACAAGCTCAGCGTCTTCATCACCGAGCCACCTAGGGAGCCGCCAGCCACTTTGAGATGGGTAGACTTCAACTCCCAGGATTCCCCACACCATCTTTAAGTCATTCACGTTGAGAAAAACTGACTTTTGCACCAGGCCAAACAATGATGGTTTATCTCTAGTCCTTGTAACTCAGTGGTCTCAATCTCGGTCCACTGTTATGTTGTGGAATGAAAGGACCAAGCAACATTCCTGGATCAGCCAGAGACAGTTTGATTGCGCAAGGTTCAGAGCCAGTTTTGTACCTGAAGCTTTGAACAAGGAGCGAACTCTGATACAACTGGTTTTATACATTTCTAAGACAAAGGATTCAGTGAGATCATACATTTTCCATATATGGTTAACATGAGATCATACATCCGATTTTCCCTATATGGTTACATACGTTGGATAATATGTTCATCTAATACTTAAACCATTAATTTTAGTTTATAAAATTATCTTAGCCACACAACTTTTCTTAAGTGCTTGTAGTTGTTAATGGGAGAGTTACTGCTGTCCTTGGGTAAGTTTATTGGATTAAGTAACTCTTTGTAACATATAGGTCTTTGGGTCATTCACAGTGAGGTCACTCAGATGTTTTCTATATGGCGGTCCTTTCGTGACATCTAGGTCTCATCAGAAGATATATTACCACTTAATGAGATTTAACTGTTAATGTAATTTCCAACAAACACTTTTCTATCTTATAATAATGTGAATAGAGAGGTTCTCTCAGAGTTCATGTATCTAAGCACGTCTTCCCCTTATAATAATGATAGAATAGAGAGGATCCTCCAGAGCCCATATACCTGACTCTGTATGATTCCTTTCTTCTATCCACATTATTTCTTATTTGCTATAATTCCTACTTTATTCACATCAGTTAGATGCAGGTGTTCTGAGCCAGTTCCTCAAACATGACAAACCCTCTGTAGTTGAAGCAATGATTCCGTTATTAGGAGCACCGGCAGTCCCGGCAAAAAGTTTCTCTCTCACCGCAGACTAACAAGTCCATCCGGCAGGGAGATAAATAATTGTCTGCCATCATCTATTTATCTCCGCCCCCTGCCTTTTATCCCCAGAGCTAGGGTGGGGCTTCGCTAGCAGTGGTGGCTCTTTTGTCCCAAGGACCGGCCCATAGATTTCCACTGCTCTCCTCTCCTCTGCCTTCTGTGCATCTGTGTGTCAAGCACTGGACTCAGCTGTTCCTCCTCTTCCTCATCAGCCACCTCCAGACCTGGGGGCTGTTGACTCTCCATCTGAGGGCATTTTCTGACAGGGAGAGCAATCAGCCAATGGAACAGAAGTTGCCTTCGGAAGTCGTGGGAGCTTCATCACTGAAAGCTTTCAAGAAGGGACCGGACTGTCCTCTGTCAGAAATGGTGTAGGATCTCCTGCTTGGGCAGGAGGAGGTCGGACCTATAAGCTCCCTTCCAACTTTGTTAATCTGTTAAAACTACCTGTTAACCCTTCTCCGGTCTCCGATGCCTTTTTCTCAGTCGGGAAAAAAAAAGTTGCAAAGGAACCTGGAAGGTCAGCAGATCCTGGTTCCCGCTATCAAATTCCCCATTTTTGGCTGAAATTGGGGGGGACGGGGAGACAGAAGGGGGAGGTGAGCCTGGGAAAACCCTATTCTCATAATAGACTATTTTTCACCTTCTTGTCTTCCTGCCTCTCTTCCGAAAATGGAGGCCGATAAGCCACAAGGAAGCCATATGTTGCCCAGAGATAAGCTAATTAAGTGGCAGGCAGGTGCTGGGGGAAAGAAAATTCTCTCTCTCACACACACACACACAGGGCTTTTTTTCCTTTTTTTACTTCTGACCTGAAGCTCTCCAGATTGTCCGAGCACAAAATTGGAATGACACCGACGGATTTGGAATGAAGGCCTTCGGGGACGAGAAGCAGGATTGCGGGCACAGAGGGATATATACTATATGGGACGATAATACCCTATTCCCCAAAAATAAGACCTAACCAGAAAATAAGCCCTAGCATGATTTTTCAGGATGCTTGTAATATAAGCCCTACCCCCAGAATAAGCCCCAGTTAAGATTGCCAGCCAGATGAGTGCATTTAGTACCGTATTTCCCCCAAAATAAGACCTAACCAGAAAATAAGCCCTAATGCATCTTTTGGAGCAAAAATTAATATAAGGCCCGGTCTTATTTTCGGGAAAACATGGTAGAAATGGGGTGGGGGCTGGGGGGGGGGTCAGGGAAATCCACCTGCAGCTTTTGCGTTCCCACAGGACTCGCCGTTTCTGATCGAAACCGGTCAGTTTCCAGCAGATTTTGCACTTCAAAATGAATCCCTGCTCTAAGTAAATCCTTGCCATTTAGAAAGTGGCACGTTGACTGTGGGGAGTTTGGCCATGGCGGATTGTCAAAGACCCTCCAGGGAGGATAGTTGAAGAGAAAGAGAGAATAGATGGAGGGAGAGAAAAAAAAGAAATGGTGATTTGATGGACTTAGAGCAGATGTTCAAATTTAGAATTTAGAATATGGAGTGGAATGGAATGGAATGGAATGGAATGGAATGGAATGGAATGGAATGGAATAGAATAGAATAGAATAGAATAGAATAGAATAGAATAGAATAGAATAGAATAGAATAGAAGAGAAGAGAAGAGAATAGAATAGAATAGAATAGAATAGAATAGAATAGAATAGAATAGAATAGTTGGAAGGGACCTTAGAGGTCTTCTAGTCCAGCCCCCTACTCAAGCAGGAGAACATCTACCATTTCAGGCAGGTGCCTGTCTAGTCTTTTCTAAAAAAACTCTAGTGATGGAGCACCCACGATTTCTGGTGTCAAGCTGTTCCACTGGTTAATTGTCCTCACTGTTAGGAAGTTTCTCCTTAATTCCAGGTTGCTTCTCTCCTTGATGAGTTCCCATCCATTGCTTCTTTTCCTGCCTTCTGGTGCTTTGGAGAAGAGGTTGACCCCCTCCTCTTTGTGATAGCCTCTCAAATACTGGACTACTGCTATCATGTCACCCCTAATTCTTCTTTTCTTTAAACTAGCCAGACCCAAATTTTAATTGGATATACAGGTACTCCTCGACCTATGACCACAACTGAGCCCAACATTTCTGTTGCTAAGTTGTTAAGTGAATTTTGCCCCATTTTACGACCTTTCTTGCCATCGTTGTTAAGTGAATCATTGCAATTGTTAAATAAGTAGCACAGTTGTTGAGTGAAACTGGCTTCCCCATTGACTTTGCTTGTCAAAAGTCACAAAAGGTGATCCCTAGGACACTGTATCCGTCATACATATGAGTCAGTTGCCACATGTCTGAATTTTGATCATCATGGAGATGGTGCAAGGGAGAAGTCCCTCTCCTCCTTGCCAAGAACCTCCAGCAGCTGGTTGGAGCCTCAGTTTCCCCTCTACAATAATCAAGCATTTATGCATTTCCGTCGAAGAGAACATTCGTAGCTCAGAGTTGTTGAAGTTTGGTTGGTTGTTTTGTTGCAGACGTTTCATTACCCAACTAGGGAACATCATCAGTGCTGCTGAGTGTGGGGTTTATTCCCTGTTTATATACAATAGTTTGCCCTGCCAGTGTTGGCGTGGATTTTTTTTTTCTAGGAAGTTCCGTGATTGGGATATTTTTATCTGCTTGATCATTTGTCTGGTGTTAATCCCTGCTTATCTGAGTATTGGCTGCTGGAGAAGATATGTGGAGTCTTTGCTACACTCTGTACTTGGTTGTTTGCTTGTAGACATTTCATTACCCAACTAGGTAATGCCATCATTACCGGTTCGCATGCGCAGATCACCTATGATGACATCCGAGTCTATGGGCGGAGCCTCCCGCCGGTTTTACTACCGGTTCTTGCAATCCGGTCCGAACCGGGGGCCACCCACCACTGATGTGCTCCCTGTTTGCATAAAATAGTTTACTCTGTCACTATTAGTGGAGACGTAGTTTTCCCCTGAGCAGTTGCTTGATTTGGGTGTTGTTTTTTGCTCCATTGTTTGTCTGGTGTTCATCCCCGCTTATCTAAGTATTGGCTGCTGGAGAATATATGTGGAGACCTTGGGGCACTCTGCACTTCGGTTGTTTGCTTGCAGACATTTCATTACCCAACTAGGTAGCATCATCAATGCTTGCGGGGAGTGGGGTGCTCTCTGACTCGGCACTTTTCTTGCAGACGTTTCATTACCCAACTAGGCAACCTCATCAGTGCTAATGAGTGTGTTTATATACATTAGCCTGCCTCGCCAGCGTCGGTGTGGGTGTGATTTCCTTCTGGGTTGTGCTTTAATTAGGTAGGGCGTATCGTTTTCTGTTGGACTGAGAATCCCGCAGAAAACAATTGATGGAGGATCCAGCAGAAAATGATTAACAATCAAGTTGGACGGGGAGTCAATCAGTCAATGATTGAGAAAGGAAGCTTGATTGGGAAGACGGTGGGAGTCAACATCTCCTGGGTTGGAATCTCCTGGGTGGTTCCCCTTTTTATCCATCGTGGGGAATTTTAACCTTGGTTTGTTTTGCCTTTGTGAAATTCAAAGGACCTCAGTCGGTTGGAGAAATTGATTGAAAGGAAGCGAACGGAACAGAAGCGAAGACGTTCTTTGCTTAGGAACGGAGGTCACTGCAAATTTACAAGTTGTTGTGACCCAGGCCCAAGTAGTTAGTATTAAACTAACAAACAGTACGAAAACAAGCAGACTTTATTAGAACAGCTGGGAATTAACTCCTTCTCAGCGTAGCCCAAATGAAATTAAAGCAAATTCTTCAAAACGCCATTCCTCAGTTTCTCACCGACCTTGGGATAATTAGGCAAACTGCCAAAGGCTTTTCTTGGCAAAAGTTCAGAAGCAGAAGATGCCGACAAGAACTGAATGTAGTGAAACAAGAAGCAAATCTCTCAACGTTGTTTTCCAGCAAAGAGGCCAAGAGCCGTTGCTGGTCTTTTAAGCCTTATGGGAGGGGCCAATCGTCTCTTGGCCTTACTCCCAAGTCGTCCTTTTTGCTTTAGCTGCTCCTGCCTTCTGGCAGCTCTTCTCATGCGTGCACTAGGAACAGGCTCCTCCTGTTCCTCTGCCTCTCTGCTGTCAGCCTCTGGAGGCTCCGGAGTCCGCACATCACTCCCCGATGGCCCTGGCCCATCTCTGCCTCCGACGCAGAGCCCTCATCCGGGCCTTCCTTAGGCTCCAGGACTGGTCCCTGTTCTTCCTCAGCCTCATCGCTGTCCGACTCCGCTGTTAGCTCCGCAGGCTGCTGGCGGACCACAACACAAGTTGGCTGCAAATGCTCCTTTGGTGCATGCTTGCAAGGGCTTGTAAGTTGGGCACCCCAAAGCAGCAGATTTGCTGACATGATAAATCAATGACATGTCTTGATTTCTGCAATAAATTCCAAATAACGGATTTATTGTACGGGAAAATTGATGCTGCTCGAATGTTAAGGGAGAAAAAAATCTGAAAATGCATATGAAAGTCCTCGATTTACGACCACAACTGAGCCCAAAATCGCCGTCGCTAAGCAAGACCCTTGCTAAGTGAGTTTTGCCCCGTTTTACGACCTTCCTGGCCACAGTTGTTAAGCGAATCCCTGCGGCCGTTAAGTTAAGAACACGGTTGTTCAGTGAATCGGGCTCCCCCTCCCCCCCCCCGGTTGACTTGGCTTGTCGGAAGGTCGCAAAAGGAGGATCAAGTGACTCTGGGACATGCGACCGTCATAAATATGAACCAGTTTTCAAGCGTCTGAATTTTGATCGTGTGACTGTGGGGATGCCGCAATGGTCGTAAGTGTGAAAAACGGTCAGATGTTACTTTTTCCCTGTGCCGTTATGTAACTTCAAACGGTCACTAAATGAATGGTTGTAAGTCGAGGGCTACCTGTATGGGCAATTTTGACATTGGGCTCACCTTCTCGAGATATATTAAATCAGAGGATACCACGTATTAGGGAGGCTTTTGTTTACATTCCTGGACTGAACAGGGGATTTATTTTTATTTATTTTATTTTATTAATCATATTTCTATGCCGCCCACTCTCCGAGGACTCCGGGCGGCTTACACCAATCGACAGTATACTAAATAGCATATTGCCCCCAACAATCTGGGTCCTCATTTTACCCACCTCGGAAGGATGGAAGGCTGAGTCAACCTTGAGCCGGCGAGATTTGATCCGCTGATCTGCTGAACTAGCAGTCAGCTGAAGTAGCTGCAGTACTGCACTCTAACCACTGTGCCACCTCGGCTCTGGGATGGTCTTTATGCCCTCAAAGGTCCCTCCCAAGTCTAGAATTCTAGGCTTTTCTCTTAGAGAAGGCTTCAAGCTACTAGTCCCCAGAGAAGGGCTGTAGGCATACTGTGAGGGAGGAGGATTCCAAAAGAAGAGAATATTTGCAGTTCAGGGTTGAGCTGTGCAGTCTTTGGTGCTTTCTGAGCTTGGTTGTTTTCTTGCAGACGTTTTACTACCAGCCTAGGTAACATAATCAGTGTTAGAAGGGAGTGGGGTTTGTAGGGAGGAGGAGGAGGAGGAAGAGGAGGACTGTGAGGTCCTTGATGTTCTCTGAGCTTGGTTGTTTTCTTGCAAATGTTTCACTACCAGCTTAGGTAACATCCTCAGTGTTAGAAAGGAGTGAGGTTTGCAGGGAGGAGGAGGAGGAGGAAGAGGAAGAGGAGGAGGAAGAGGAGGAGGAGGAGGAGGTCTATTAGGTCCTTGGTGCTCTCTGAACTTGATCGTTTTCAAGCAGGCATTTCACTACCAGCTTAGGTAACATCGTCAGTGCCGGAAGGGAGTGGGGTTTACTCTCTGTTTACATACAAATGTCTTGCTCTGTCAGTTTTGGTGGGGTTTTCTTGCTGGTTCCTTGATTAGGCTGTTGTTTGCCGCTTGATTGTCAGTCTGGTGTTAATCTTGGTGTTAATCCCTGCTTATTTGGGGTTTAATTGCTGTCAAGGAAGTGTCTCCAAAAAGAGGAGATGTCTCAAAACAGGCAATTAAAAAAGCTAAAAAGGAAACAAAAAGACCCCAAAAAAGAAACACACATCTTCTCGACAGAAATGAGCACTCAGATAAGCGGCGGTTAATACCAGACAAACAAACAGTAAACAAGGCCCTAATCAACGAACTACCAACTAAGACAAATCATCAAACAGTAAAGAAGAGCCTAATCATTGAACCACCGAGATCGTTCTCACCAACGCTGACAAGGGGCAGCCCTTTGTATATAAACAGAGAGGAAAAAAAACCCCACCTCCTTCTAGCACTGATGATGTTGCCTAGTTGGGTGATGAAATGTCTACCAGACAACAAGCAAGCTCAGAAAGCACCCAGGACCCCACAGAAAGATGATTACCAGCAGTTTTCTCCCCAATCTTGCCCTCGTCTTCTTTTTTTTCTTCTTTCCTTGTTGCAGGAATGTGCTGGGGAGCCCCTCTTTTCCCTCTTCTGCGCCATCAAGCAGCAGATGGAGAAAGGGCCCATCGACGCCATTACGGGAGAAGCCCGCTATTCCCTAAGCGAGGACAAACTCATCCGGCAGCAGATCGACTACAAGACCCTGGTGAGTGAAGAAGGAGAATATCGGGGCCGGGGAGGGGGAGACGGTGTTTCATTTGGGACCCAAAAGAAAAAGGGAATGATTTTTTTTTAAAAAAATAATAATTTGGATTTGCAAGAAAATAAGAAGGTTTTGCAATAGATTTGCACAGAGGTCTTCAAACTTGGCAGCTTTAAGACTTGTGGACTTCAACTCCCAGAATTCTCCAGCCAGCCTAGCTGGAGAATTCTGGGAGTTGAAGTCCACAAGTCTTAAAGCTGCCAACTTTGAAGACCTCTGGATTTGCAGCACGGAAATGTTGGCCTATAGTATGATGTCAATCAGATGACCCTCATCCCCGAATTAATTGTCATAAATATATGCCAGTTGTCCAGTGCTTAAATCTTGATCATGCGATCCAAGGAGGATTGTAAGTGTGAAAACTGGTCACTCTTTTTCACTGTTGTTGTAACGGTCACTAAATTAATGATTGTAAATCGAGGTTGTAAATCAAGAAATGTGTAATTGGACCGTTAGATAAAATGCTAAGAAATTCTTCAGTTTTTGTGGGACTATATCAGAGGTGGGTTTCAGCAGGTTCTGACCAGTTCTGGAGAACCAGTAGTGGAAATTTTGAGTAGTTCAGAGAACCGGTAGTAAAAATTCTGACTGGCCCCACCCCTATCTATTCTCTGCCTCTCAAATCCTAGTTGATCGGGAGGAAATGGGGATTTTGCATTAACCTTCCCCTGGATTGAAGAAGGAACAGAGATTTTACAGTATCCTTCCCCTGGTGTGGATTGGTAATGGAGATTTTATAGTATCCTTCCCCTGCCACGCCCCACCAAACCACGCCCACCAAGCCATGCCACACCCACCAAGCCACACCCACAGAACCGGTAGTAAAAAATTTTGAAACCCATCACTGGACTATATAGTATTTTTTCAGAGCTAAAATATTAACTATTTTAAATAAATAAAGATTTTTTAAAAAATAAAGTTTTGAGGCCAGACTGCAAATTGAGGGTTTCCGTAAACATGCTGATATTTTGCCACTTGTCTCTTCGAACGGTCACTAAACGAATGGTCGTAAGTCAAGATGATGTTGTTAAAAGATGGTAGGGTAAGATAAGATAAGATAAGATAAGATAAGATAAGATAAGATAAGATAAGATAAGATAAGATAAGATAAGATAACCTTTATTGTCGTTTTTTTTTCCTGTGGGGACACTGGCACACATTAAAAATGAAAATTCTGTTGCCTGCTCTTCAAAAGTGTACACGTAACACACATATAGATATGCTATATACGTACATATGTATATACCTACACCCTAACACAGAGTTCCCCAATCTTTCTGGGTTGGTGGGCCAGAGTGGGGAGAGGGGGGAAAGAGGCAGGGGTGAAATCCAAAAGGCAGGAGTGGCTCCTCAGGAGGAGGTCTCCTCGAGAGTAAGGCTTGGGGCTAGTTGGCCACTCCCTTAGCCTATTTAAGGAGGAACGCCAATTGCAGCAATTTGCAGGGAACAACTTCGTTCACTCTCCTTCGTGTCTGGATCTTAGTTCTCTTATCAGTTTCCTGCAAATTGCTTCTGGGCTTTCTGCCAACCATAGTAAGATTACGATTATTTATTCTTTGGATTCTTGTAGGCTGTTAAGAAAGTTAATTAACAGCCTTTGTTTGAAAAAGACTGATTTAATTTAGTAAACTAAGGTTTGTACAGATTTTGTGTGTGCTGCGTTCTTTGGGGTCCATAGCTGGGGCAGAACAGCTAAACACCCAATTCCCACAGTACTGTCTTATGTCAAAAGATATTTTACCCATGTGGTAAAGCTGTGTCACTTATCCTTCTCATCTTCCCACTACCTTCTCCTACTGGTATCTTATGATTATATTACTTCGTTGTTTGTATGTGCACTTGGGAGCTTATGCACCGAAGACAAATTCCTTGTGTGTCCAATCATACTTGGCCAATAAAAAAATTCTCTCTTGTAGTATTGACATCAAGGTTTAAGTGCAGAGCAAAGAAGGAGGGAGAAATGGAGAAAGGAAAGAAGGAAAGAGGAAGGGAGAAATAGAAGGGAGGGAAGGGAACAAGGAAAAGGAAAGAATGGGGAAGGAAAGGAAAGGGAAGGAAGGAAAGGAAGAAGGAAGGAAAAAGGAAGAGGGAAGGAGAGGAAAGGAAAGGAAAGGAAAGGAAAGGAAAGGAAAGGAAAGGAAGGAAAAGGGGAAGAAGGAAAGGAAGGGAAACGAAGGAAAGGAAAGGAAGAAGGGAGGAAAAAGGGAAGAAGCAAAGGAAGGGAAGGAAAGGAAAGGAAGGAAAAAGGGAAGAAGGGAAGGAAGGGAAGGGAAGAAAAGGAAGAAGGGAGGAAAAAAGGGAAGAAGGAAAGGAAGGAAAGGAAAGGAAGAAGGAAGAAAAAATGGGAAGAGGGAAGGGAAGGAAGGAAAGGAAAGGAAGAAGGAGGGAAAAAAGGGAAGAAGGAAAGGAAAGGAAAGGAAAGGAAAGGAACAAGATCTTTGGGTCGATGATTACATTTCTTCTCTGCTATAAGCTCCCCTCCTTCACTCCGTTTGTTTGATGTTAATCTGCTTTGCCTCTTAACATCTCAAGAGCAGGCAAATCTATCCTGATAGGAATCTTAGCAGATATATTGAGATCCATTTCACTGGGGAGATTAAAGGCAGAAGAAAAGGAGATGAAGAAAGCATTTTTCTCAGCCATATTCTTTGTGAGCTGCGGAGGAAAGCGGGAGGGAAGGACGGAGACGCCTCCCCTTGAACAGTAATTCCAATAATAAGATTTTAAAATATAGATACCATTAAAAAAAAAAGGGGAAAAGGACATTACACAGCTTTCTTATGTTTATCGTGCTACATTCTCCCAGGGCTTTAAAAAAAAATTCCTTGGAAGACGTTCATTGCATGATAGAACAATCAAAACAACTAGGGGGCGGTCAAAAAAGTCAAGATGGCGTCTCCCGTCATGTGACCCGTTTTAACCGTGATGCGGGTAAAAAAAATGGGCGGAGCATCGATCACATGATCATAACTTATTGACTTTACAGCTAGTCCTCCATTGACAAGCGGCTGCTTAGCGACTGTTTGAAGTTATGACGGACTCCCCAAAAGATTTTATTTCTGGTGGGGCCCCTCCCACAATCACATGACTTCATTTTGTGTGCTTGGCCATCGGCCTCTCTCTATTTCCCTCTGTTTGCAGCATCCTCCAGGCACGTGACCACAATTTGCAATATTTTTGACAAAAACCAGCATTTGCTGCCAATTTGGGGTAAAAAAAAACCCCAGCCCATAGCTAACAATGGGTTCGTTTTACGATCGCAGAGTTCAGTTAAGGAGGTGTGGTCATGTAATGACCCGCAATCATCACGAAAGGGTTCCATAAATCGAGGAATAGCAATGGCACTTAGACTTATATACTGCTTCACACTGCTTTACAGCCCTCTCTAAGCAGTTTACAAAGTCAGCCTGTTGCCCCCGACAATCTCGGTCCTCATTTTACCAACCTCAGAAGGATGGGAGGCTGAGTCAACCTTGAGCCGGTCAGGATCGAACACCTGGCAGTCGGCAGAGTACTGCCTGCAATACTGCATTCTAACCACTGTGCCACCACAGATAGATGATAGATAGATCACATACTGATTCACAGTGCTTTACAACTCTTAGTAAGCGGTTTACAGAGTCAGCATATCGCCCAGTGATGGGATCCGACCGGTTTAACAACCGGTTCGGTGATCGCACGCTTCGCACCAGCGCTTTATGCGTGCCTGGGCCAGATGCGTGCTATGCGCACATGCACAATTGAACAAAAAATCACCTTCCGCATTAGTGCTAGGGAATTAAAACAGCTGATGCACGGCAATCAGCTTTGCCGCGCTAATCAGCTGTGAAGATATAGGTAAGTAAAGTGCAGGGGCGGGCAGGCGGGCCCAGCTGATTGTTGGAGCTACTGGTTCACTCCCAATTGATCGTCGGAACTACCGGTTCGCTCCCAGCTGATCGTCAGAGCTACCGGTTCGCTCCCAGCTGATTGTCGGACTACCGGTTCGCTCCCAGCTGATCGTTGGAGCTTCTGGTTCACTGCCAGCTGATCTTTGGAGCTACCGATTCGCTCCCAGCTGATCGTTGGAGCTACGGTTCGCTCCCAGCTGATTGTCAGACTACCGGTTCGCTCCCAGCTGATCGTTGGAGCTACTGGTTCACTGCCAGCTGATCTTCGGAGCTACCGATTCGCTCCCAGCTGATCGTCAGAGCTACCAGTTCACTCCCAGCTGATCGTCGGAGCTACCAGTTCATCCGAACTGGTCCAAACTGGCCGAATCCCACTCTTGATATCGCCCCCAACAATCTGGGTCCACATTTTACTGACGTTGGAAGGATGGAAGGATGAATTAAACTTGAGCTGGTCAGGATTGAACCACTGGCAGTCAGCAAAATTAGCCCGTAATATTGCTTTATAACCACTGCGCCACCACAGATAGATGGTAAATTGATAGCAAAAGCACATACACTTACATACCGCTTCACAGTGCTTTACAGCCCTCTCTAAGTGGTTTATAGAGTCAACCTCTTGCCCCCAACAATCTGGGTCCTCATTTGATTAACCTTGGAAGGACGGGAGGCTGAGTCAACCTTGAGCCAGTCATGATCGAACTCCTGGCACTCAGCAGAATTAGCCTGCAATACTGCATTCTAACCACTGTTCCACCCCCCCCCACGCACTACAAACACCCCCTGAAAAAAAACCCCTAGCCACTTCTGTATTTCCAAGATCTGCCATGTGTTGCTTCACCAATTAGGCCTCAAAAATTCTTTGGGAAAAAAAAAAGGCAAAGCTGCCCTGGCAAAAAAACCAACACGAACAGCAGGCTTCCCCATTGCAAGTCTCTGGCGGGATCCTGAATAAGCAAAAGCAATTGGTGTCTGGTGGATTGTCGGTTGTGTAGCTGGGGGGGGGGATTATTTCAGAAAAGGCCTTGCGTCTTGCAGATGCTAGCCAAGATTCTGATAATGGGACAGAAAGGCAGAGAGCAAGTCTTTAAAGTAGCGTTTCCCAACCTTCGCCATTTTAAGATGTGTGGACTTCAACTCCCAGAATTCCCCAGCCAGCATAGCATCTCTCTCTGTGAATGTGTGTCTTTCTCTCCCTCTATTTCTCTTTCTCTCTCTTTCTCTTTCTCTTTCCCTCTCACCCCTCCCTCTCTTTCTCTCTCTCTCTCTCTCTCTCCCTTTCCCTTCCCCCTCTCTCTGCCTCCCTCCCTCTCCCTTCCTCTCTTTCTCTTTCTTTCTTTCTTTCTCGCTCTCCCTCCCCTCCCTCTCTTTCTCTCTCCCTTCCTTTCCCCTCTCTCTCTCCCTCCCTCTCTTTCTCTTTCTTTCTTTCTCTCTCTCCCTCCCCTCCCTCTCTTTCTCTTTCTCTCTCTCTTTCTCTCTCTCTCCCTTTCCCTTCCTCCTTTTTCTCTGCCTCCCTCCCTCTCTTTCTCCCTCCCTCCCTCTCTTTCTCTCTCTTTTTCTCTCTCTCCCTTTCCCTTCCCCCCTCTCTGCCTCCCTCTCCCTTTTTCTCTCTCCCTCCCTCTCTCCCCCTCTATCTCTCTCCCTTTCCCTTCTCCCTCTCTCCCCCCTCCCTCCCCCCTCTCCCTTTCCCTTCCCCCTCCTCCCTTCCTCCCTCCCACAAACCATAACTAGGCAGTGCACAGTAATAGTTTGCTTTGAATTCTCAGACTCTTTCCAACCTATTTCTGAAGAAATGATTAGTGCAGTCCTCTCCTCCTCTTCTCTTCTCTTTTCTCTTTCTCCTCTCAAAGATTTGGGGGATTTGAGCTCCGAAATCTCAGGGTAATGGAATTTTCCCATAAGAATGGAACATTTGCAAAACACCGCAGCACACAAAACGCAGGAACATTCCTTTCATATCTCATAACTGCTAGCCAGCTTCCCCTTAAATCAAAAGCGAGTATCGAAGGAGATCAAAGGCATCGTGAAGGATCTGTCTTAACACACACTGATCAAATAAAGACTACAGAACACATGTACTCAGTTTTCAAAATTCTATAATATAATCCTCTTTTCTTTGCAGTAAACTTGGCAGAATCTAGATTGCTTTGTTATTGTTGAGGAGTTTGATACTCCGTCTCGGGGAGAAGGCATGGCGTTCGTCTAGGGTGGCAATAAATCCTAAATTTGATACCACTTTTTCTGGTACTAGCTCATTTTTTCAAGAGGCATAAGATCTCATGAACCACAAATGTGTAGAATAGCTAGGGGATCTTTTGAGGAGGGTTGTGGCAAACTAGATGTCCTTGAAGGACCAGGATTGACAGAATTTGATGATCAGAGGATGAATTCCAGCTGTCAAAATCTCTCTGGAAAATGGAGAGATCACGAGATCGCCCATATGTACTCCAGACGGCGGCTTCCTGCAAGTAAACAGCAGAAATGGGAGCCTTTGTACTCAGAGAGCAGATGGAGGGACCACTTTTGTGTGAAACTGTTGTGGCTTAAGATGTGGCTGCGGTTGTTGTAGGTGGTGCCGTTTGTGAGGAAGGGCAGTATAGGTAGTCCTTGACTTACAACAGTTCATTTAGTGGCCGTTCAAATTTACAACGGCATTGCAATAAATGACTTCTGAGTGGTGCGTTGGCCTAGAGGTGGAGCTCTCGCCTCACAAACAGGAGGCTGTGAGTTCGATCCCACGTAGAGGCAGATATTCCTCTCTCTGGGCACGTAGACAATATATCTGCTGAATATTTTTGTCAGGTTCACCTGATTCGCCAGTTGCGGCCCTTTCTTGATCAGGATTCCCTGTGCACAGTCACTCATGCCCTCGTCACCTCTCGCCTTGACTACTGCAACGCTCTCTACATGGGGCTCCCCTTGAAGAGCATCTCCAACTGGTCCAGAATGCAGCAGCGTGGGTAGTGACGGGAGCAGCATGGTGCTCCCATGTAACACCGCTCCTGCGCGAGCTGCACTGGCTCCCGGTGGTCTTCCGGCTGCGCTTCAAGGTGTTGGTCATCACCTTTAAAGCGCTCCATGGCATAGGGCCTAGCTATCTGCGAGACCGCCTGCTGCTACCGACGGCCTCCCATCGACCCGTGCGCTCCCACAGAGAGGGCCTCCTCGGGGTGCCATCAGCCAAACAATGTAGGCTGGGGACCCCCAGGGGGAGAGCCTTCTCTGTGGGGGCACCCACCCTCTGGAATCAGTTGCCCCCAGAGATAAGGAGAATCCAAGACCTTAGTGCCTTCCGCCGTGCCCTGAAAACCCACTTTTTCCAGCAAGCCGGGCTGGCTTAAGAAGAAATTTTAAATGTTTTAATTGGTTTGTATTTTTAATTTTGGGCCAAATTTATATATATATTAATTGTTTTTTTAATATTTGTATTTCATGTTTTTTTTTAATTCTGGCTGTACACCGCCCTGAGTCCTCAGGGAGAAGGGCGGTATATAAATTTAAAAATAAATAAATAAATAAATATAACGCCGTATTGGCAACAGGAAGGGCATTTGGTCAGTGAACACTCAGTTCCGTTCGGTTGCCCAGACTCCACCCCACATTCTACCACAGTCCCCTTAGAAAAAAGAGCAAGTAGCAGTGTCATGCGTGTGAAGTTGTTGTGGCTTAAGATGTAGTTGACGTCGTTGTAGGTAGGTAGGGCTGTTTGTGAGGAAGGGCAGTGTTATGTACTTACCGCTCTTGGACGCAGAAGTTTAGAATCTGTTCTCTTTCAGGTAGCACCAATAACTACTAATCTGCCTCTGGAAAAAAACTCACATTCCCAGCAGGGGTGGTATTCAGAGGTGGGTTTCAGCAGGTTCTGACCAGTTCTGGCGAACCGGTAGCGGAAATTTTGAGTAGTTCGGAGAACCGGTAGTAAAAATTCTGACTGGCCTCACCCCCATCTATTCTCTGCTTCCCAAGTCTCGGCTGATTGGGAGGAAATGGGGATTTTTCAGTAACCTTCCCCTGGAGTGGGGTGGGAATGGAGATTTTACAGTATTTACAGGGTTCTTAAAATCGTTTTACCTGCAGATGCCAGGAAACCTGAAGATTGTTAGGTAAAGCCACAAAGTGCCAAGAAGAAAATTTGAAAGTTAAAAGTCGCGGAGTTCAAAGAACAGGCCTCTTGTATTCCGAAGGTTGCTTCCATATTTTAAACAACAGCCAGTGTGTCATTGTTGGGCAGTTGCCTGCAGTGATCAGGGACTCCACGAGAAACAATTATGCCAGCAGTTTGTGTGTGTTGTTTTTAAACACAAAATTCCCCGGTGGATGGTTTATTTGCTTTCCCTTATTTGCAATTAATGGAACAGAGGGGTATCCCTGTCGAGACAACATCATCAAGATTGCTTACAGTCAAATTATATTAATTTGAAGCCAAAGCTAACATTTTAGAATGTTTGCTCTTCAAAAGCAACCATTTAAAAGAAAAAAGATTTTTTTTAAAAAAAAAAAAGGAGAGAAAGGAAGAAAGAGAGAGAAAAAAAATTCCTTAAAGCTGGGTTATAGACAGGGGTGAAATGCTCCCGGTTCGGACCGGATCACCTGATCCGGTAGCGATGGAGGCAGGTGGTTCGGAGAACCGGTAGCAAAAAACCCTGCCCCCCCCCATTCCAGCTGAGCCGCACAATCAACAGAGGCTTTTTGTTTACTTTTAAAAGCATTTTTTTCTACAACCTCTTTGGCCGAAAAAGTGCTTCTAAAGTAAAAAAAAAAAAGCCTCTGATGATCGCGCAGCTTAGCTGGGATCGTCAGAGACTTTTAAAAGCATTTTTTCTACAACGTCTTTGCCTGAAGAGGTTGTAGGGAAAAAAAAATGCCTTTAAAAGCCTCTGGCGATCCCAGCTGAGTTGCCTGATCATCAGAGGCTTCTAAAAGCATTTTTTTCCTGCAACCTCTTAAGGTTGTAGAAAAAATGCTTTTAATAGTTTTAAAAAAAAAAGTTGGCCATGCCCACCCAATCACATTACACCCCCCACCAAGCCACACCCACAAAATAAACCACGCCCACAGAACCAGTAGTAAAAAAAAATTATAACTCACCCCTGGCCGACTCCATAGATTTTCAATTGAGTGAAGGTCTGGGCTATTCCCAGGCCATTCCAGCAGCAGAATAGGATTATCTTGAAACTTTTATTAACTTTTATTACTTTTCTTTAATACTGAATTTTAAATTGAGAATTGATAATTGAGAGTGTATTTCCACGCTTACTTTATATATATACCAACAACGACTTCACTGTCAGGAAAATGATTATGGGACTAGGTTAAGAAATATATTTATTTATTTTTATTTATTTTATTTATTTTTATTTTATTTATTTATTGAATTTGTATACCGCCCTACTCCCGAAGGACTCAGGGTGGTGAACAGCCAGATAAAATACATATAATACAAATGTTAAAAAGCATTTTTTTATATATATATATATATATATATATATATATATATATATATATAATATATATATATATATATATAAATATATAAATATATATTATATATATATAAATATATATAATGAGTAGATAAGATAATATATAGATATGTAAAAGAATAGAAATGAAATGTCAAATATATGATATGATCTATGTATATGAATATTTTAATTGTTTTTATAATTATTTGATAATTTAATAAAGTTTGTTATTTAAAAAAAAAAGGATTATCTTGAAACTCCAAAAATAAGTGGTGTTATTAGCCGTCAAACCTCAAAAGTACACTTTTCCCAAAAGTTTCCACAATTTTGGCCGCGACTGTATTACTTGTGAAGTTCTAGACGTCACTCTGATATGTTTCTTTTCTTTCAACCAACCTCCTACAGGTGCTGAGTTGTGTGAATCCGGATAACGTGAAACAGCCCTGAGATTCCAGTGAAGATCTTGAACTGCGACACACCATCACCCAAGTGAAGGAGAAGTTCCTGGATGCCATCTTCAAGAACGTGCCTTGTTCTCATCGGCCCAAAGCTGCAGATATGGATCTTGGTGCGTTGAGTATCTCCTTAGATCAGTGGAAATGGACAACCGTAGAACCCATCCATCCATTTCATGCAACCATGTTGGGTTAGGTTGACGTATGTCAGGTTCTCCCATTGGCATAAAACGCTCTTTCTTGGGCATTTGGGGGGGCAATAACATATCGGAAACTAAACCTAACCTTAATTAGGAGAGATGGCTAGGTTTGGGGCAGAATAGAATAGAATGAATAGAATAGAATAGAATAGAATAGAATAGAATAGAATAGAATAGAGTAGAGTAGAGTAGGGTAGGGTAGGGTAGGGTAGGGTAGGGTAGGGTAGGGTAGGGTAGGGTAGGGTAGAGTAGAGTAGAGTAGAGTAGAGTAGAATAGAACAGAACAGGAGTTGGAAGGGACCTTGGAGGTCTTCTAGTCCAACCCCCTGCTCAGGCAGGAAACCCTACATCTCTTCAGACAAATGGTTATCCAATCTCTTCTTAAAAACTTCCAGTGTTGGAGCATTCGCAACTTCTGGAGGCAAGTTGTTCCACTGATTAATTCTTCTAACTGTCAGGAAATTTCTCCTTAGTTCTAAGTTGCTTCTCTCCTTGATGAGTTTCCATCCATTGTTTCTTGTCCTGCCCTCAGGTGCTTTGAAGAATAGCTTGACTCCCTCTTCTTTGTGGCAGCCCCTGAGATATTGGAACACTGGTATCGTCTCTCCCCTAGTCCTTCTTTTCATTAAACTAGACATACCCAGTTCCTGCAGCCGTCCTTCATATGTTTTAGCCTCCAGTCCCCTGATCACCTTTGTTGCTCTTCTCTGCACTCTTTCCAGAGTCTCAACATCTTTTTTACATCGTGGTGACCAAAACTGGATGCAGGATTCCAAGTATGGCCTTACCAAGGCCTTATAAAGTGGTATTAACACTTCAGATGATCTTGATTCTATCCCTCTGTTTATGCAGCCTAGAACTGTGTTGGCTTTTTGGGCAGCTGCAGCACATTTCCTGGCTCATATTTAAATATCAGAGAGAATATTGGGAAGATTTCCTAGATGGGGTGGACCCTTGCAAATTCACATCTTGGGAGAACCTTCTGAAGGAGATTCTGGAGTACTATCAAGTTCTCTGAGGGTTCCTTCGTCCTTAATTCAAGGAGTCACTGGAGCCAAGAGAGAGAGAGAGAAAAAAAAGAGAAAGAAAGAGAAAAAGAGGGAGAGAGAGAGAGAGAAGAGAGAAAGAAAGAGGAAGAAAGAAAGAGAGAGAGACAGAAGAAAAGAGAAAAAGAAAGAACAGATATGAGCATTGACCATCAACTGGGCAAGCAGGCAGGGATCATAGAGACCAAAGATAGAATGGGCCCAGTTGAACCTGTTGTGTGACTATGACTATTAGCACTTTAACTGACCTTATTAAGATTACCAATAGAAGACAATATTTATAGCTCAGGTGTTGTGGTTCATCGGCAGCCTGCAAAGCTGGCAGCAGAGTCGGACAGTGAGGAAATGCCAATCCTGGAGTCTGGGAAAGGCTCGTACAAGGGCTCTGCGTCGGAGGCAGAGAGGGAGCCAGGGCCATCTGGGAATTATGTGCTGACTCCGGAGCCTCCAGAGTCTGACATCAGAGAGGCAGAGGAACAGGGGGGAGCCTGTTCCCAGTGCGCGCATGCGCAGAGCTGCCAGAAGGCAAGAACAGTTAAGACAAAAGGGGCGACTCAGGAGTAAGGCTTGGAGATGATTGGCCCCTCCCATAAGGCATAAAGGTGGAGCAAAGGGACATGAGCCTTTGCAGGAAGCAACTTTGTTCGTGCTGGTTGGTTTAAATTCTGAAGCTCCGTTTTGACTCTGTGCTCCGTTTGGCCTTGCAAAACTAATTGCCAATTAGGTCTTTGGCAGCGTGCCAAGGGAGATAAAGGACGCCTAAGTCAGAACCGAAGAGTCCTTGGTGCTCTCTGAGCTTGGCGGTTTTCTTGCCAACGTTTCATTACCCAACTAGGTAACATCATCAATGTTAGAAGGGTTCGCAATTTAAGGAGTGGAGCAGGAGGAGATGGAGGAAGGGAAGGGGAAAAGAAAGACTGAGAAGGAAAAGGAATGAAGAGGAAGGAGAAGGAGGAGAAGTAAGGGAAGGAGAAGAACGGTGGGGGCCTTGGTGCTCTCTGAGCTTGGCGGTTTTCTTGCCAGACGTTTCATGACCCAACTAGGTTACATCATCAGTGCAGATGATGCTACCTAGTTTGATCATCAAATGAAAAGTCGCAAAAGGGGATCACATGACCACGGGACACTGCCGCCGTCATAAATATGAGCCAGTTGCAAGCGCCTAAATTTTGATCATGTGACTGCAACGGTCGTAAGCAGTGGTGGGATTCAAGTAATTTAACAACCGGTTCTCTGCCCTAATGATTTCTTCCAACAACCAGTTTGCCGAACTGTTCAGAAAGTTAACAGCCGGTTCTCCCGAAGTGATGCGAACCGGCTGAATCCCACCTCTAGTCGTAAGTATGAAAAACGGTCAGAAGTCACTTTTTTCAATGCCGTTGTAACTTCAGGTGGTCACGGTTATAAATCGAGGACGACCCGCATTTTTAAACCCCTGGATTTACCCCCACAAAGACAAACAAAACACAATTTAGCGTCGAGGCTAATAGAAATCTATCAACCATTTAAGAGGACGAGCAGTTGCTAGTATCCCTCTGTGTCTGTTTGTGTGTCTATGTGTGTGTGTGTGTGTGTGTGTGTGTGTGTGTCTGTGTGTGTGTCCTTGAAATGCGATCATGAGGGAAAGGTCACCCATGTCAATTTATAGGAGGAGCCCGAAGGATGCTGGGCACCGAGACTCACTTTGAGACCCAGACAATCTGGAAAAAAAAAAGAAAAGAAAAAAAGTTGTCGGCTGCTATTTGATCGCTGATGTCATGCAGGAGAGCCAGCTAAATTATCTCCCCTCCTGGCAGAAACCTTGTCTGCCTTCTCGCTCCCATCGGAGAGATGCGCTCATCGGGGTGAAGGTGGCATGAAAGGCAAAACCGATCAAAATTTTAACATGTTACATTGCTCGGTGCAAAGTGAGCAGCCGTTTCAGCCATTAATAAAATGCTTCTTCCATGATGTTGCCCCCCGCAAAAATAGCTCCACGCTTACTTTGAACATCCTGGAAGTTACCGTATTTTTCGGAATATAAAACGCACCTTTCCCCCCCCTAAAAGGGGGTGAAAATTTAGGTCTTATACACCGAATGTAGCCCCGCCCCCCCACTGCCCCCCACCCTTTGGCCTCTGTCTCCTAGCAGTTTACCTCATTGCAAGCAAACAGCAAGAAAAAACAGCTCCTTTCAGCTTCAGCACAGACTAATTAGCACAAGGTGATTGGATCGGCCTCCCGACTCTCAGCTGATTTGCTCTCCGCTGTTTTGCGCGGGGCTCTGCTGTTTGCTGCAAAGAAGTAAATTGCTGGAGCAGATTTTTTTTTTCTCCTTGTGCTAATCAAGCTATGCTGAAAACGAAAATGCAAGTAAAGCAGGCTGTTTGCTGCAAGGAGGCAAAATTGCTCAGAGGCAGAGGGAGATTCCTTTTTCTTCTTTTCCTCACCAAAAAAGGTAGGTGTGTCTTATACTCCGAAAATTTGAAGCCAAATTCAAAGACCGCGATCTCTTAGCCCCGTGATTCCTTTTGCCAGGACCACTGCAGACAAGCTCTGATGTCCCACCCGCCCAGTGGTGAAATCCAAATTTTTTCACTACAGGTTCTGTGAGTGTGGCTTGGTGGGCATGGCTTGGTGGGAGTGGCAGGGGAAGGATACTGCAAAATCCCGATTCCCTCCCCACTCCTGGGGGAAGGATACTGCAAATCCCCATTCGCTCCCCACTCCTGGGGGAAGGATATTGCAAAATCCCCATTCCCTCTCCACTCCTGGGGGAAGGATACTGCAAAATCCCCATTCCCTCCCCACTCCTGGGGGAAGGATATTGCAAAATTCCCATTCCCTCCCCACTCCTGGGGGAAAGATATTGCAAAACCCCAATTCCCTCCCCATTTCTGAGGGAAGGATATTGCAAAACCCCCATTCCCTCCCTACTCCTGGGGGAAGGATATTGCAAAATCCCCATTCCCTCCCCACTCCTGGGGGAAGGATACTGCAAAATCCTCATTCCCACCCCACTCCTGGGGGAAGGATACTGCAAAACCCCCATTCCCACCCCACTCCTGGGGGAAGGATACTGCAAAACCCCCATTCCCTCCCCACTCCTGGGGGAAGGATACTGCAAAATCCCCATTCCCTCCCCACTCCTGGGGGAAGGATATTGCAAAATCCCCATTCCCTCCCCACTCCTGGGGGAAGGATATTGCAAAATCCCCATTCCCTCCCCACTCCTGGGGCCAGCCAGAGGTGGTATTTACCGGTTCTCCAGACTACTCAAAATTGCCACTACCGGTTCTCCATAATTTGTCAGAACCTGCTGGATTTCACTCCTGCACCTGCCATCGTAACCATAGAGAGGTGGTATTTAGCCGGTTCAGACCGGTTCGGGCCAACCGGTAGCAGCGACTGCGGGTGATAGCGGTGACTGTGGCCGGACATAATGCTGTCCTATTTAGTCATGTTTTCGAGGCCGGGCGCATGCACTGGGAGTGCGTGTGCAAGCAGAGCGCATGCACGGAAGGCCGGGCGAACTGGTGGTAAGAATATGTGAAACCCATCCCTGTAACCATAACCTAACTCGGTTTCTACAAGCCAAGTGAGAGAGCCAAAATGGCGTCTGGAATTACTTGAGGGGTCCTCGGTGCTCTCTAAGATTGGTGGTTTTCTTGAAAGACGTTTCATTACCCAAACCAGGTAACATCATCAGTGCTAGAAGGATTTGCAATTTAAGGAGTGGAGTAGAAGGAGATGGAGGAAGGGAAGGAGAGGAGAGAGAAGGAGAAGGAATGAAGGGAAAGAAGGAATAAGAGAAGGAGAAGAACTGTGGGTTCCTTGGTTTCTGAGCTTGGTGGTTTTCTTGGAGATGTTTCATTACCAAACTAGGTT